CAAAACCAAAAGAAAAACAAAAATGCAAGAAAGAAAACTTGGCAGGCATAGTAGTGCACACCTCTTATCTCAGAGGCAGGCAGATTTCTGAGATCAAGGGAGGGCTACACAGAGAAACCCTGTCTAGAAAAAAGCAAAACAAAACTACTGTATTGCACTGAAGAAGATAGTCAGTAGGCAGAGCCTTGGGGTGGGTCACTTGGGAGCCTGAAGATCACCTCTTGGCTGAAGTCAAGTCTTTCATAGGACTCGGCATTGCCCATATGGGTAGCATTCCTGTCTGAAAATGACAGTTGGTCCCTCTTTGGTGGGGCTATCCCTTTAATCTATTACTATGACAAGAGCATTGCAAACCTAAGACCTATCCCAACTTCACTTCATGGCAAACACTCCTCCCCTAACAACTCCTTGACCACCAGTGTCTCTTAGCTGCTCAAGACAGTCTTCATGTTCTCATGCCTCCACAGCTCCCTCTGAATCTACACCCAAATTGTCTGCTCTGTTTTTAGCTCTACTGCTCCCCAACTTCTCATGGTGGTGGCAGCCCTAACGCCTCAGGTTCAAATCTAGAGGAAGCACATCTAATTGGTTCACCTGGGAGCTCCTGGCCCTGTGGGCTGTGATCAGTGTTGCCTCAGCCATCCTTCCAACAAGGCTGAGAGCACAGGCATAGCAGTTGCCTTGGAAATATCTACCAACATCCTTGCTTGTACCACATGTAGTAGTCTTGGCCTTTGTATCTTTTGGCAACCTCCTCTAGGTCTCCCACCCTCATAGCCTCCCCTGTTGTCTCCAAACCTTCACAACCAACACAGCAACCATGTTGCTCTCATTCAGACCCTTGCTGATGACCCCTGCCAAGCCTGGAGACACACGCTGCTACTCCTTTTCTTTTGTCCTCCTAGGATGCCTCAGTGCTCACCATGATCCCAGCACTGGGCCCAAGCCTCAAAGTGTTAGACTTGTCTTCCTGTGTGGCCCTCACTAACCAGACCATGCAGGCCATCTGTACCTACCTTATTCACCTGTCAGTCCTGCGCCTGGCTTGGTGCAAAGAGCTCCAGGACTGGGGGCTTTTGGGGCTGAAGGATCCAAGTGAGGAGCCTGTGCTAAGTCCCCAGGTATGAGATCCTTGAAATTAGGGAGGGTGAGATGACCTTGACCTCTGGTGCCCTCTGCACTTCCTGAATCTTTAGCAAAACATATGAAGAACCTGAGAAGCAGGGGTTTCTTCCCGCAGCTACACCAAGAGGTGGAAAATCAGGCCCCAGACCCTCAAGAGCCTAACTCTGAGCCACAGGGACCCTCCCTGCTCATGCTTCAGGCCCTGCAGGAGTTGGACCTCACAGCCTGCAACAAGCTGACTGATGCCAGTTTGGCCAAGGTGTGAATAAGCTGAGGACATTGGTGCGGGGGGGGGGCAGGGGCTAGGGGGTTGGGCCAACCCACTTTGTCCTTGGCGTCCCCTTCTCTTTGCTTTCTGATAGAAGCAAGGAAGCTGGAAGGGGCACGGGCTCTGAGTTCCAGTGCCATTTTTATGTCCTGTTCTTGCAGGTGCTCCAGTTCCCTCGACTGAGGCAGTTGTCATTGAGCCTATTGCCAGCACTCACAGATGTGGGCTTGGCAGCTGTGGCTAGGGGCTGTCCCAGCCTGGAGCGCTTGGCATTAAGTCACTGCAGCCACCTCAGTGATGAGGGCTGGGCCCAGGCAGCCAGGTTCTGGCCAAGGCTACAACACCTCAACCTGTCCAGCTGCAGTCAGCTCACAGAGCAGTGAGTGTTTGATGGCATTGCATTGAGCCACAATGCATGGGCTGGGGCTGGGGCTCACACCAGCTCAGGCAGTCATCCCATGGCCTCCTTGCAGAACTCTGGATACCATTGGGCAGACATGCAAGCAGCTTCGAGTGTTGGATGTGGCCATGTGTCCTGGTATCAACATGGCAGCCGTCAGGCACTTCCAAGCACAGCTGCCTCAGGTGACCTGCATCCAGTCTCGCTTCGTGGGAGGGGCTGACCTGACCCTAACACTTTGAGGCCAGGTCAGTAACTATCTCTGAAGCTTCTCTTCCTTGACCAGTGTAGCCCTAGCCCAGGCCTCTGGACCTGAGTTTGCCCCAGTACCTCTGACCTTCCCTACTCTAGAACCTTGTCTAAAACTCAGGATGGATACTTACAGCTCCAGTGTACCCCGAAGATGGCAGCAATATCTTTCCAGCTACACGTTGCTGCCATGGGCCCTGCTCTAAAGGTCAGGCCCAAAGGGGAGCTGGGCCTGGTGCTGAAGGCCATACTCTGCCAGCCTACTGCTCAGACCTAAAGCCTTTGTTCTGCCTGCTCCCGGGGCTTCTTCTAACTCTCCCCAGCTTTAGCTGTCAATCCATCGACTTCATTGTAAACCCAAACAAGATTAAAATTCCAGATTTTGTTTTCTCTAATGTTTTCAGACTAAAGAGGCTCTCCCTCCTCCATCTCAGTTAATGCAAAGAACCTCCCCCACTGACTCAGTTAGGCCCTGGTTTTCTCCACATGGGAGATTTTGGAGGCCTTTCCCAGCACAACCCTTGTGGACATGCCCTGCTGCAAAGGCACTGGCCCTAACCAGACCTGGGAACAACTGTCGACCAGATTCATGTGCTGTCTTGGGGTAGGGTAAGAAAAAAGACAGCATCTCTAGTAGGAGGGTCATAAGTGGTCATGTAGTCCAAACCCCCTGAACAATGCCAGTGACTTCTCACGAGCAGCTCTGACGTAGTCTCTCCAGTCCGTCCTCTGTGTGTCCCCATACTTTATCTGTCCATCAGTTCTGGAAGCAGCTAGCCTGTGCTGAGTACCTGAAGCCACTGTGATTCATGTTGGAACTTAGAAGTGCTCCCAGTCATCAGACTTGATAGGGAGGCAAATAAGCCAGTACGAAGGGACAGCCTGGTATGCAGGAGATGCATGAACAGAGAATTTGCACCTGGGTCAAGGAACCTAGGGCAGCAATGAACTCAGGGGCTGGTTAAGAAAGGCATCAAGGTAGTGAACATGGCAGAAGGGGGCATAGAGGTCAGATGGGCAGACTGGGGCCGGTTCTGGTATGGAGGGCTATTGTAGGCCCCAGTGGGATACAGGGAGGATGCTAGCGTGGCAATAGGAACCCTGAAGACCAAAGGGAAGGACTAAAACATGTCGATGCAGCTTACCAGCTCAATTCAGTACTCAATCATGGTAACCATGGTAATAGAACAGTAGTGAGATATTGAACAATATATGATGTCTTTGTTACTGTTCTTTTTTTTTAAAGATTTATTTATTTATTACATATACACCAGATTGATTTGTAGATGGTTGTCAGCCACCATGTGGTTGCTGGGAATTGAACTCAAGACCTCTGGAAGAGCAGTCAGTGCTCTTAACCTCTGAGCCATCTCTCCAGCCCCCTTTGTTACTGTTCTATTGCTGTGATGTAATGCTATGACCAAGGCACATGTAAAAGAAGGTATTTAATTGGGGGCTTGCTTATAGATACAGATAAGTCTATGACTGTCATGGTGGGAAGAACTTACATCCTGATCCATAGGCAGTAGGCAGAGAGGGGCTTTTGAAACTTGAAAGCCCATTCATTCCCAGTGCACACCTCCTTCAAAAAGGCTATACCTCCTAAGCCTTCCCAATCAGTTCTACTGACTGGAACCAAGCATTCAAATCTATGAGCCTATGGGGGCCATTCTCAATCAGACCACCACAGGGTGTATGCATGAGTATATAACCACAATGTTGGAGTGGCAGCTATTGAAATGACCAGAAGGCGGAAGCTGGGGGGGGGGTTTATTGCCAAGATGGTGGTGGCATGGGCAAGTAACTGACAGTATTGAGAATTGACTGTATTGGGACACTAAGTGCAACTGGGACCCCTACCCTGTTTCCAACTTAAACTCAAAAGTTTGTTCTGAGTGTAGTAGCAAGGCTCTATGTCTAGGTGTGAACACTGAAGATTGGAATTGTAGTTAGGTTGTTTTTTGTTGCTATTGTTTTGTTTTTTGTTTTTGTAGGGTCAAGTATTTTTGTTTTTTTATTTTTTTGTTTTTGTTTTTTGGAGACAGGGTTTCTCTGTATTGTTTTCAAGGCTATACTGGAACTCGATCTGTAGACCAGGCTGGCCTTGAACTCACAGAGATTCACCTGCCTCTGCCTCCCCAGTACTGGGACTAAAGGTGTGTACCACCAACGCCCAACTAGGGTCAAGTGTTTTGTTAGCACTTTCTCCAAAGGAAATAACATTTAATCAATTTTAAGGCACAGCATTGATGAAGAGCATGTTAAACACAGTATTTGAGTAGTAATGAATAGAAATTACTCAAGGTGGTGGTAGCTTTCAGCCTACTCTGTGGGGCCCTGGATTGCCGAATTATCTGTCTTAGGGATTTTTGGAGTTTGTGACTGTTGCCTCCAACTATGTCTCAGCACTTCTGCCCCCAGACTCTGACTTGTCTGTGATCCCCCCTCACATAATTCTCCTGTGCCCATCTACCCCTTGGAGCTAACAGCCTTCTCTTCAGCTTTGCATCTCTCCCTCGTGCCCTTCATCAGAGGTTTCTTTATCCCATGGAGGACAAGGGCAAGGTTGGGAAATGAGGGCAGACTGTTAGGAACCTTCTGAAAGCATGGCTTCTAGACAGACCCCTGTTGCTGATGCCCAGGAAGGTATTCATTTGGGGCAGTACATCCTGCCCTGCTACTTCTCCTGTCAGTTGGCCGATACTACAGTCATTTCTTTGGCTGCTACCTCAGATGACAGGTCATCCCTCTCTTCATGTCCAGAACTGAGGATGCTAAGGACTTATTTCAAGAAGGGCAATAGTCACTACCTGTCTCCACCCAACACCAGCCTTCCAGAGGTAGCTGGCTGTCCAAGTGTGTGGTCTTGCCTGGTGCCCTTACATCATTTACTGTGTTTTTTGTCCATGTTTATCAACAGGCGTAGCCCACAGGTTCAGAGCTCATTTGACACATACCTACAAGCCAAACTAACTTTATTTCTGCTCGAGGCTCTGTTGGTCAGGTTGTCTGTGCTTTTTACCCCTCTTTATGGCTGCTCCAGAAACTCCAGCTGTCACCCATAGCCAACTTCAGTCAAGGCTCAGTGATGCTGAAGTCATAGCAGAAGTTAAAGTTGGTAGGGGGTGGGGGCACTGGGGGCGGCTGCTCAGGAATGGGCACATTCTCCAGTTCCAACAGCCGCAACTTGGTCTCCATAGTAAGCAGCTGCTCCAAGTCTAGCCGAGTCTGCTCACTGCCCATGGTGCTGCCCAGCAGGGCACTCAGCCCATCTGTCCACAGGTAGAACTAGGGATGGACAGGGCCAACACTGTGAGTGTCTACGTATCTGCTCCCCCTGCCCATCTGCCCAACAGCCAAGCCCAGACACTTACATCCCGTTTGGAAGGAGCAATGAAGTTGAGGTATGCTTCTTCTTCCCCATGGTCATAGCTGATGGAGAAAGCCAACTCATAGAGGTCCTAGGAAAGTGAGAGCAAGGACACTGAGTAGGGAACAGGCAGAGATGGGTAGGAGGGGCAGAACCTCTGACCCTACCACAGTCACCTTGTTCTGCTTCCCAGAGCCCTTCTCCCGGACATGCGGGCAGTCCTTGCCCATTAGGAGTGCCCTGATGTCTGCCACAGGGACTGTAGAAAGAAGATTTAGCTGACTACTGTGCCCTAAGGCTGACCCAAGATTGGGACATCTGGAAGGGGGAAAACAGGTGGAGGAGCCCAAGCCCTGCCCTCCTCACGCTGTTCAGGTAGACTCTCTAGGGTGGGTGGGTTGGCACCCTCCTCCACATCCCCATACTGCAGCACTTTGTGGTTGGGGGATAAACAGCAGAACCACAGCTTGTCTACAGAAAGGGAAGAGAGGAGTGATGAGAGGGGCTCTGAACCCCAACGCCCCCCCAACACCTTTGCCCATTCAGAGACCCTGGCGTCTGCGGCTGCTGATCTTGCGGAAGAGCATTCCCTCACAGAGTCGGAGCAAACGCTGCTGTCGAATTAGGCCCATGAGCTGCGGCTTCAGCTTCTCCCGCAACTCACTGGATGGAGAGTAGGGGTAGTTAACCGGGACTTACCTGGAGCATGGTCCACAGGGCACTGGGGAAGGTGGGCATTGAGACTGCAGAACCCTACCAACTCACAGTATGGGAGGGGCCAAAGTGCCCTCCTGGTGCAGCCGTTCTGTCTGCCTCAGCCTCAACACTTCCCCATAGCTGAGAACGTTCACTTTGGTTCGGAAGAGCTCCAGGGAGGTGGGCTTCAGAGCCAGCGTCCGGGCTAGCTGCTCCCGAACCACCTGCATTACCTAGGACCACACAAGTGTAGGACCTGTGTTCAGGACCCCTCTCAGAAGCACCCCATGGCTTTGCTGCTTGAACTCCACCCACCTTGTCAAAATCCTCCTGTGTTGCCCGCATTTCCTTCCAGGTTTTATTCAGCAACTGGATAGCCACGCAGAAGAGCTCATGGAAACTATGGTCTTGACTGAAGAACATGGGTGAGAAGTCCTGGGCTGTCTCGGAGCCTGGAGCGGGGGGGCAGGAGGGGCTCAGGGAGAAAGTGTCTACAGCCCCTGGCCCTCTCTGCCCTTCCGTTCCCTGACCCCAGATACGCTGGATCTAGCTCAACTCACAAGGTTCCCCAACATGGAGCAGCTCACACAGCACCACTGTCAGCTGGATGCTGCTCTTGGCGAAGGGGCACTCATGCTTGTCCTCTCGGCTACTATTCTCCAACACAAACTAAGGCAGTGGGATAGAGGATGGCAACAGGATCTCCATGGAGTCCCTGATGAAGTTGAGCTGCTGCCATCCCGCTTGCCCCACTCTTACTAACCCGACTGTATGCACTAGGTGCATGCTTGGAGAAGTAGAGCATGTTGTCCAGGGCCAGCAGACCAGGGGGCACACGCTCCAGGTCCTGGGCTGGGTTGCTGTTCTAGAGAGGGGAGTGCAGGCAGCTCAGGAAGGGCCACAGTCCTAGAATAACTGTAGCCTGGGGTGAGGTTTGGGTGGGACTAAGGTAGGGGTCACTCACAGAAAAGCCTAGCTTTCGGAACTCTCGAACACAGAGAGAACGGCGGCGGTCAGCACTCAGCCCTGTGCCCGAGGACTCCCCCTCTGGTTCAAAGGCTGCCTGGCGCAGGGCCTGCAGTCGCTCCCGCTCTTCCTGAAGTCAATGAGGAGGAGCATGTCAAGAGCATAGATTCAAAACATAATTGTAGGTAACCCTCCAGCATTTGCATGCCTGTGCACCTGGTTGTAGGGGTCAAGTGGTGTCCGCATGCGTGGCTCCAGCAACCCCAGTGTAAGAGCCTGCAGCACATACAAGTGGTGAGCCATCTCGTCGCCCATGGGTGCTGCACTGTGGATGATATTCTGGAAGACAGCCAGGCTTGAGTAAGAGTCACTGGGAAAGAAGGACCTGGAAGAGGGTCCCCTTGACCTGGCCCATCCTACCTTGTAGATGAACTGGCGAAGATTCCTCTTCCATAGGTAGTCAAGCATGTGCTGCAGTGGGTGAGAAGGGGCTTTAGATGACTTTGCTTAGCTGGAGCCCAGCACACACACACACACACACACACACACACACACACACGCCTGTTCTTCATTCGGTTATCCTGGACAGAACACTCACCTTACGTTCAGCAGTGCTAGCCCCCTGCAGCAGAGCTGTCAGCAATGCCATAGCCTTGGTTTGCAGCTGTTGGTTCACTCTATGGAAGAAGGGGCAGAATCAACCGTACATCTGGAGTCCAGTTCTGCTTCCCCTAGTCACACTGTACCCTAGAGGCTTACACCTGCAGGTGCACCAGCAGCCTATCCAGTGGCACCTCACTCTTCACCAGTTGGCCCAGGGCAGGGCTGCTCAAAGTCACGCTCTCCAGCAGCCTGAGGGCCAAGGGCTGCACAGAGGCATCCATCAGGTTCATGTTCACATAAGATACCACCTGTAAGGGATAGAAGACGTCATTACCATTCATGAAGACTAGATGCGGGCACTGTTCCACTGTTCCTGGAAGAGAACACACACCTTCCTGACAAAGGGGATGCTGAGTGTCTCCCAGGATACAACACCATGTTCCATGAGCTCCAAGAAAGCCGTTAGACCAAGGGCCAGCATCTCCCCTAGACTACAGAGAACATCTGGGGATGAGTAGGATCAGACGAAGATTCCCAAGCCCTGCTACGCCCCCTAGTCCACCACAGATGCCCCTGTGCTCACTCATCCCCATTTTCAATGATGGTGCTTAGTCTCTGAAGCCCATCACGGCTGATGACCTCCTGGGCAAAGGTCATGTCTGAGGCCAGTGGAACCAGGTTTTTCAGGGCTTGATAGCACCCTTCACGACTTGCACTCTGCAGCCCGCCCAGCACTTGCTGGGCCTCCAGGTCCTAGCAGCAGCAGAGGAAAGATGAAGCGGTTAGACGAGATGTTACTGGAACTGGAGTGTGATGGTCTGGGTGTCCACTAGGTGGGGCACTAAGAAGCTGGGGCTCCAGACCCACAGCAGAGGCCACACTAGGCAGCAAAGGGACCCAGCAGAGGGGAGGAGAGAGGCATTACTGGGGCAGTGCTGAGGCACAGGATGCTTCCATTCTTGATCTCCATGCGGTTCTGGAGGAAACAGCAGAAAGGAGTGAAGTTAAAGAGGGCTCTAGGAAATGGTCAACTGCATCATCTATTGGGAGTCAGTAAAAGAACTCCCATTCAGAGCAGGGTAAATATATTGGATCACAGCCAGGTTGGGTTAAAGGGACCCTGTGCAGTGTGGGGCTGGGAGGGGGCTCACATTCTCTGTGATGTATCTCTTGTGCCCATCAGCAAACTTTAGGGCATAGCTCTCGGAGTGAGGCAAGTTCCACCTGTGGGGCAGGAAGCTCAGCGAAGAAAGTCCAGGATCGCGTGCCCCTCCCCCTCCCCCGCTTTTGCCCAGCACTTACGCGTCGCACACCTCCTTCAGCACAGTGGCCAGGGGCTTTGCCTGCAAGTGGAGTTGTCACTCTAGGCGCTAGGGTAGGAGTTAGGGTGAGGGACTTTTAAGGGGCGGGCTGGGCTGACCCGAGGGAAGAGGAACAACCCAGAAGTGGGAGGCGGAGTTCCGACAGTCCCATTGACCTGGTCTAGCTGGATAAGCTGTGGGATGGCGTCAGACTTCTGAACGGCGATCTTCACCACGTTCCTCGGGGGCGCCATAGTTCTGCCGCTGTGGCTGCCGGCACTTTGCACAAACGTGCCACCTCCCGCCGAGGGTACACCTCGTCTGGGGACTAGGAGGATCTCCCTGTCTAAAACCTGGCTCCGGTGGCCTGCACAGTTCAGGTGCCCACTCGATCTGGCTCCGAGGCTTTCCCAAAGGAGCCTGTTAGTTCCGGGTTAATTTCAGGGGTAGGAGGGTAGGACCCAGCCTGCCCTGACCCGTTCCGCCCCACTGAGAGAGCTTGGCCCCGCCCCACGCCAAGGTGCAGCCAGCCGGTGGAGAATGGGAGGGCAGGCATCTTACATAGCAGCCACACCTCCCATTCCAGTAAGGTGACCCACCCAGTCCCAGGGAGGGGCCCCAAAGAACCAGACCAGAGATAGCCTTAGGCATGTCTTTATTCACTTGGATGCTGTACAAATATTACAATTTCCTTTTGCTGAAAAAAGTATAAAAATAATCTTTATATAGGAATCCATTCGTTACTGTAAATCTTTCTAAATCTCTGCAAATGGCTCTAAATGAGGGTAAGTGAATAAACGGAAGTGAGGGGAGTGGGTATGGGGTATCAGGAAGTTGGGCCACTCTTCAGGGACCAGCCCACCCAGATTCCTATCTAGACATAACAATTCCTTCTTATCAACCCCCTCTACCCTGGCCATCTCCGAGTTTCAGGACACAAAGCTGCAGGGTGAGCAGGTGGCAACTACCCAGCCCCACCCCCTCTCCCTCCTTAGGAGAAGAGTGGCTGGTAGTGCAGGGCAGATGTGCCACTAGGTGGCAGCTGAGCCTGGCTGGGGAAGGCTTCAGAAAAGGAAAGGCAAACACTTTGGGTTCTATTGGAGAGGGTTAAGCTCTCTCCCCTGCTCTGCTAGCACAGTACAAGTGCTAGTGCAAGACAGGGTAGCATGGCCAGAACTGAGCATCTGGGGAAGGCTGAGTAAGTCAAGAGTCAGGGCTCTCAAGCTGGGGGTGGGAGTGGGGGTTGGGGGCAGTCCCTAGTTGGCTCCTAATCCAGACAGTCTGGGTTGCAGCTGCACAGGACACGTCCCTGTGGTCAGAGGTTGAGAACAGGAACATCAAAGAGATCACAGACACCTTCACTCTCATCCAGGTTGTAGATGTAATCGTGGTCTCCCGGGGGTGGAGACAGTCGGAGAAGGGGGGGCAAACACTGCAGAGAGCATTAGGCTGAGGAGTCAAGCCAAACCCCCCCGCAGCCACCCTCCCTGCTGCTCAAAGTTCTCCCCACCTTCCTGGGCTACCCACCTTCTGAAGACATCAATTCCTCCAGCAGCTCGGAGCTCATGCACTCTGGGAATGAACAAAATTCACTCAGATTCTTCACCCACCAAAGCCCATAAACGAGAACCACATGTACACCCAGCCTCACCCTTTTTCTGAGATACCCAGCACAATACGATCCTGAGAAGGGAACTCAAAATTATGTTCCTTACTCCCTACATCCATTCCAAAGGAGAAACTCAGCCTACCTCGTGTGGGATCGAAGATTTCTGACAGCTCTTTGGGGAGATCCAGAACTGAAAGAGAAGAAAGCTAAGCTCAAAGGAGGCTCAGCTGGGTCCCACTATAGTCCAACTTTCTTCAGGCCGTATATCATTAAGCCCCAGGGAAGAAATGTTGGTCCTACCCGAGGTATAGGTGTCTTGTCTGCTAACCTAAATTCCTCATTCTGAGCCAAGGCTACCGAAAGGCCTAGTGCAGGTGACAAGTACAGCCATTCTAATTCAGACACTGCAAAACTCCAATTCCTTTCTGAGCTGGGGGTGCACACCCTCTGGGCTGGGACAAGAAAACACTTTGACAGAGGATAGTGCTAGTGTGATGAACCTACTACAAACCTCTGATTGGCAGGACACACATGGGAAGCAAAAGCAAAAGAAACCTGAACAGATCATGATGGATGTTACATGCAGAGCTCAGAAGTTCAGGTTTAGGGCTAGAGAGGTGGTTTAGTGGTTAAGAGTGTTTCCTCTCTTCCAGTCCAGGACCTGTGTTTGGCTCCCAGCACCTACACCAGCATCTCACAACCACCTGTAATTCCAGTTCCAGGGGATCCAATGCCCTCTTTTGGTCTCTAAGGGCACTCACAGGCACACACATTATTTTTGTTTTTGTTTTTTTCTTTTTTGGTTTTTCGAGACAGGGTTTCTCTGTATTGTTTTGGAGGCTGTCCTGAAACTCGCTCTGTAAACCAGGCTGGCCTCGAACTCACAGAGATCAGCCTGCCTCTGCCTCCCGAGTGCTGGGATTAAAGGCGTGCGCCACCACTGCCCGGCTATTTTTGTTTTTCAAGACAAGGCTTCTCTCTGTAGGCCCGGCTGTCCTCAAACTCAGAAAGATCCACTTGCCTCTGTCTCCCAAGTGCTGAAATTAAAGATGTACTCTACCACTGCCCAGCACATCAATGTTAAAGTTCAGATTTTGGGAGGCCAGTGAGATAGCTCAGAGGTGGCAAGTGTTTGTCTTGAAGCCTGACATTCTAAAGATGGATGGAAAGAACCAACTCCATGGGAGAGCACATATGCACAGTCTCTCCACCCCTCAGTACTGGTTTTGTTGCCGGTGATTGAACACATGTCTTCATACATGCCTAATAAGCACTCTACCACTGAGCAATATCACCAACCATATTTACAAACTGAGAAATACCAGTCAGGATTGCATTGCAGAAAGGCCGTTTCATTAGTAAGAGTAAAGAAAAGGATGCTTTTAATGGGTTTACCAGGCAAAAGAAACTGCATGGTATCACAACAACCTACCAGGCAATAGTTATGGGGGTTACCAAGCCCCTTTTGCTTAGATTTGAGGCCAGTTCCATGGGAAGTAATTCATGCCTGATACTGTAAACCTTGTCAAAGGCCCATGACTGAGGAGATCATAGACCCTAGAGGGAAAACTTAATCCTACTGCTTTGCTAAATAGGTATATTATCTAACCATCTCCTACATTTTTATGCTTCTATGTTGATCAGAGAAAATGGGCAACAGGAGTCAATACAGAAACTCATAGCTGATCTAAGTGCCAATAGGTTGAATGCTTAGCCCAGGGCTCAGGAAACATTGCTGAAGAAGGTATAGAAAGAATGTACAAGTCATAGGATGGGGAAGAGTGTTGTGAAATGCTGTCTTTTGGATGTAATTGCCAGTGTACTCAATTTCACAAGCAACTATGGTTACCTAACTAGCTGAGAAAGGGGAGTCTTTTTCTTTGGATCTGTGCTTACAGGTAGCACTAATTAGAATGAATGGGTTACAAAAAAAAAAAGATGAAAATGGAAGAGGAAGTGATGGGAGGGTGAAGGGGGAGATCTGGGTTATAAATGATCAAAACACACTATATAGAGCTAGGTGTGGCGGCACACACCTTTAATCCCAGCACCCAGGAGGCAGAGGACAGCCTGGTCTACATAGCAAGTTCCAGGACAGCCAGGGCTACATAGAGACCCTGTCTCAAAAGGACAAAAAGACCAAAAAAAAAAAAAAATCATATTGTAAACGTATGAAATCACACACACAAAAAAAGTTTTAAAGGAAAGGATGAGCTTTAATCTAGAATCAGGATGGCTCACAGTTATCTGGTGCTGAGGATGCAAGAGGGATAAGAAGAAATGTTTCACAGACTTTAGTTAGCTCCCTAGAGCTGAGGCCCTCCCCATGTGCAACATGGGAAGTACCAGTGTTTAAGCCAGTGAGGTAGAAAAGTCAGGAGCTGAGTAGGAAGACAAAGCAGGACCAAGAGAGCTCCAGACCCATGCCCTTTAGAAGCCTGCTGGGCTAACTGCACCAAGAGCTTCGTGCATCCAGACATGGTAAGGGGAGTACAGAGAGTAGCAGATCTCAATTAGTGAGGCCCGGTGACGTTCCAAATGGTGGCAGGCGGGGACTGAAGTTTTAGGAAGGGGGCAAAAGGCACCAGCACTGACCCCGAGACTAGACACCCTTGTCTGGCTGGCAGAGAACAGGATTTAGCAGGAAAGGCCCTTTCTAGCTATGTGTTTGGTAAAGCACTGGGCTGACTCCCTGCTTGCCCCTGCCCCTCAGTAAGTACTCACCACCAGTGGGGTCTGCCTTGATGGGCTCAAAGGAGGTAGAAGGGTTGGGTCCAGATGAAATGCTGCTGCTACTGCTGCTACTGCTGCTGCTGCTGCTGCTGCTGTCCAGGAGGGCAGAAGACTGCAGAGGCCGAGTGTCCAGTGCTGTCAGGCCCAGTGGCAGTGAGCTGAGCTCACCACCATCCTTGTTTTCAGTTCCAGGGCCACCACTCACTGCAACCACATCCCCAAACCCAATCACGTAAGTCAGGAAATGGATCCTAGAACTTGGCTAGGCTAGATCCTACGGCCAGGATAACCATAATGCGGGTACCCAAACCCAAGGAGAATTAGCCACTACTAGCTACCAAGGAGCAATCTAGAAAAGATCACTGAAGACAGAGCACAAGTCCTGAAGGAGGGAGATCCATGGGGCTGCCAGGATCCATTACACACTATCCAATTTGGGATAAACCTTCCCTAGTGATGCTCTTTACACAGTCAAAGCTTCCTTGTTAGAAAGGGCATATTCAAGCTGGGTGTTGGTGGTGGATCTCTGTGAGTTCAGTGGCAGCCTGGTCTACAGAGTGAGTTCCAGGGCAACCTCCAAAACAATACAGAGAAACCCTGTCTGGAAAAACCAAAAAAAAAAAAAAAAGAAAAAGAAAAGAAAGAAAGAAAAAAGAAAGGGCATATTCAGGGCAAGTGAGAGAGCCCAGTAAGTAAAGACACTTGTGGCCAAACCTGATAACCTGAGTTCAATCCCCAGAACCCATATTAAAGGAGAGACCCAATCTCTTAATTTGTCATCTGACCTCTTCTGACCTCCATATGTATGTTGTGGCATTCCTCCCCCTTACAAACAAATAAAGGAAAAAAGTAATTTAAAAGAATACATTCACTGTGACGCCAAGGAAAGCTAGGTGGGGACCCAGCAGCCTTTCCCAATTCTTAGTATAATATTCCACAGCACAGACACCTTCTTGTGGGCTCCAGAATAAGCCAACACATCCTACCAGAGAGTCTCACCTGCAATCTCAGCTGTCTGGCCTGCCACCTCTGAGACTTCAGGGCTGCCAAGGACAGGAGCAGGGGTAGTTAGCTGGGGACTGCATGGACGAGAGGCTTCTTGGGGTTGAGATAAGGCAGGCTTGGGCAGAGGTGGAGGGGTGGAAACAGCAGGTGGGCTCTGGAGCAGATCCTCAGGAGGAGGGACAGGCACAGCCACAGGTGGTGAACTCCACGCCTCCTTGTTCACTAGCAGCACCTCGATGGGACCACTCATGCTCTTTAAGTGGATCTGGTACTTCTTTTGACCATTGAGACCCTGAGGTGGGTGGCAGAAGATGCGGGACAAGCAGAAATGCAAGCATGCTCGGCTCCTGCCTGACTCTGGGTGAGAGCCAGGCTGCCATCCCACTCCTCATCTGCCAGTCCACCAAGATAACCCAAACTCCAGGCCTCCCTACCCGCCCCACCCAGAACTTATCAAGCTCCACAGCCAGTATCCACCCTCAGTTGACACCGCCTTCCAGGGTTGAGCACCTACCTCTGGGATGGGCACCTCTAGACTGGTGCCCGATGGGGCCCGGATGGCAAGCAGGGTGTCTCCTAGAATGACAAGGAGAATAAATACATCAGGGCCCATGAGCTCAATCTGAGCTAGGAAAGGAAGTGTCTGTTCACTGGGGCAAGACAAGAGATCATAGTCTCTAAGAGACTGAATATTAAGCCTCTACCATCCCAGAGCACTGGGTAGATCTAAAACTCTCCTTCCCCAAAAACTTATGCTCAGTAACAAGAAAATGCAGTTCAATCACACTTTTTTCTTCCTTTTGTTCAAGACAGGGTTTATTCATGTAATCGCTCTGGCTGTCCTAGAACTTGCAGTGTAGACCAAGCTGGCCTCAAACTCAGAGATCTGCCCTCCTCTGCTTTCCAAGTGCAGGGATTAAAGTATAGTCTTATTCTGGAGTGAGTTCACTGATCACGGGCAGCACCTCCCTCCTCAAATGGTGTTGATCCCTAGAAACAGACCTAACCAAGTTTTCCCAAAACCAAGATACAAGATGAAATATAAGAAGGAACAGCTCCTATATACACAGACCAGAAATGGACACCACTGACCCCGAATACAAGTATGTAAGATTGTACACAAACATACACATGCACATTCTCCTTTTTCCTCTAGGAGCAAACCCAGAGAACACAGCTGACGACAAGCCTAGGGACACACTGTACCCTCAGTATTGTTGGTCTCAGTGACTTTCAAACTGAGACGCTGCCTGGTTTCTCTCTTAGCAGAGACGGAACCTCTCCTTAAGCACTGAACCTGATGGACACTCAGGGCTCCATGGCTTAGTTCAGCTCCCACCCTCTCCCCCTCCCCAGGCTCTGCTCACCAGCAAAGCACCTGCAGATGTCCTCATGAGTCACGTAGGCCAAAGTGTGGGGGTTAAGGAGAACAGCTGATGTCTTTCTTACTGTGCCAGATGGCAGACCACAGAACACCCCATGTTTTAGCAGATGTCTGACACACAAGCCCTCAGAAGAAGCTCTGGAACTTGGGGTCCAAGTGGGTAAGGATCATGAGCTAAGATTGGAAGAGAAGGGAGCCTCAAATCTGAATCTGACCAAGGGATCATTCTCCCAAAAGGGACAGGGCCCTGAGCTCCACAGAGCAAAACCAGCCGAGGACCCTTTGCCCACTCCCCAGGACAGGGACTGCCAGAGGATATCAGCTGTTCTGGACGTCCTCCGTGACATTCCGGATGCTCTGCTGCACCCACACCTTGTGCTGGTCAAGTTCTTGCTCCCGCTGCTGCAGCTCCTCGATCTCTGCCTTGAGCTCAATCAGCTTGTCGGCAATCTCCCGGGTATTGCAACCTGGCCCCACACCCCTGAACCAGAGGAGTAAGAAACTGAGAGGGACTGCTAGAACTTTGGGTCCCACACCTCTGCTCCCTCCTGCAACCCGACACTTCTGCTCTCCCTAAATCCCTACTCACTTCCACTGGATGCTGTTCTTGGATTTTTTCTCGATCAGACCAATACCTTCCAACACGTTGGTGATGTCGTAAATCCGCCGTTTCTGCCGCACAGCTAGAGTGTCGGCTGCCTGGCAAGTAGAAGAGAATGGAGAATGCTACCCCACTCTTAAGGGTGCACCCCGATACCTTTAGTCTGGAATGGGGGGGTCGTCTTGTGTCCCACCCCCGGAGTTCCTTCCAGTCACTCCAGCCGTGCGTTGGGAAGAGTCTTGTGTTCTCATATTCTAATGCTCGTTTCCCTGTGCTAGCCACGAGGGCCAGCACCTGCAGCCCCGACTCAGACACAGATCTCACGCTCTGTGGCTTGAGTGGAAGCAGCCTCCCGCCTCTCTCGTGAGAGAAAGCACACAGATGTGGGCCGGCTGTTGGAGGACCTAGCGGGGTAGCCCCAGTGGTTCCCGCTACTGGTTCAGGCCTCGTCCACCATCTCCCCCGTCGCCCCTCAGACCGAGCCGCACCAGCTTGAGGTCAAGCACACCGTCCTTGGCTTCCTGCAGAAGCGACACGAACTTGGTGGTGAGAAGTCCCAGACTCTTCTCGTGCCTGCTTGGAGTGCCCGGGGGCGGCGGCGCCTGTGGCCCGGCCTCCGCCATCGCGCCCGCCCGCCCGCCCGCCTCCCCTTAGCCAGGCCAGGCCAGGCCGGCCGCGGCGCCACTTCCGCTTCCGTTCTTAGTCGCCCGGCCACCGGCGCTATCACCGCTGCTTCCGCTTCCGTCTCATGCCTCCCAGGGTATCTGGTGCAATTCCTGCCTGCAGATCTGGACGTAAAATTTGGGGGACCATCAGCAAATGTACCTTTAGCAAAGAAGACTAAAGCAACTCCTAGGACAGCGAGTGGACCCAACAAACTGTGTAGAAGGAAGATGGGAAGGGTTGTCAGTCACCAGTCCTGGCAGTAGAGAGGAGGGAACCACCAGAATCTTCCTTGTTAACTTGTCTCCAAACTACTAACTGCCCGAACCCCCCATCTAGGGAATGGAAGCCATACTACCTGATAAGCATAGCCTATTAAATTAAAACTGCTCCTAAAGGCTTCCTTACTGTTTTGAGATCACCCCTGCCTTTACTTTTTGTCAAAACCAGCAAGCACTAACTATATCTAGCCTGCCCACTTCTACCATCTCTACTCCTCCTTTAGTTCCAGCATCATTTTCCTTTGGCCTCTATGCTACATACAGTTTCCAGCCATTTCTCAATGCACGCAAAGGTATTTGCCTATGTGTGACTATAAGCAAAGCCTTTTTTGTTTTGTTTTGTTTTTTTGTTTTTTTTTGTTTTTCGAGACAGGGTTTCTCTGTATTGTCTTGGAAGCTGTCCTGGAACTCGCTTTGTAGACCAAGGCAAAGCCTTTAAGACAGCTCCTGACATAGGAAGAACCGCGTGTTTGCAAGTGTCACTTACTTTTTAAAGGTTGCTATTTTATTTTTGTTATCTGTACGTGTGTGTCTGCCTGTGTGTGGTGTGTGCACATGTGTGCAGGTGCTCTGGGTGTTTTGGAAGAGGGTGTCTGATCTCCAGGAGCTGGAGTTAACAGGCAGTTGTGAGCTGCCATGTAGGTGCTGGGAATTGAACCCTGGTCCTCTGCAAGAGCAGCCAGTGCTCTGCCCTTAACTTCTAAGCCATCTCGCCAGCTGCAAGTCTTTTTATTTTTAACATTGCTATCACTTATTGTTACTTGTTTCTTTTGGTCAGTTCCTCTAGAAAACAAACTGCCTTCAGCAAGTTTATTGAGGGTTCATACGTGTAAAACAAGCAGAATTCGCAAGATCTAGTTATGAGAGTCCATGGTGCTAGCTCTGAAACTGGGATAGTCTTTCTGAGGTGTTCGTGCTCAACCAGGGTACTTACTTAGGCCTTTGTACATCAAAACTGCCTTAGAACTTCAGCTGCAAGCCCTCAACAACCTGCATTTCTAGCAGCTAGGAAAGGAGTCTCTGTCCTGATGGATGGATCTATGTGGTACACCAAGTAGTTACTATGTTATCGGATGGATCTGTGTGGTACACCAAGTAGTTACTATGTTATCATCTAAAGTTGCTCATCGCTCCCCATCAGTTTCGGGAACAATAGAACTTTTATGACCCCACTACACTCTCTCCTCACAGCAGGTGCTCTTTCCTCCACAGGGGCTCATACCCTTTTGGGGGGGAGGGGCAATCAGCAGTTCTCATACTGACATGTTGTTTGCAGCGATATCAATGCATCAACACGTGGGAGGGTCATTCTTCAAACCAGCTTGAGGCCAAATCGGCTTGATATGTGCATATGTCTTTCCTGAGCACATAGAAGTCCTAGGTGAGCTGGTCAAGACTTGATGATCGCCGGGCGTTGGTGGTGCAAGCCTGTAATCCCAGCACTTGGGAGGCAGAGGCAGGTGGGTCTCTGTGAGTTCAAGGCCAGCCTGGTCTACAAGAGCTAGTTCCAGGACAGCCTCCAAAGCCACAGAGAAACCATGTCTCGAAAAACTGAAGAAAAAAAAAAGACTTGATGATCACAGGGAGTTCATGCCTGCCCCCACCCCACAGGAAGTGGCGCCCAGCTCTCCCCACCTCAATGCAGATGCTTTTCCTGTTGGGAATAAAGTGCCAGAGACTCGACTTCCTTCCTTTCTGCCTTGGAAAAGGAGGGGCCTTAGAGAGAAGAAGGGGCTTCTGGGCTGGGAAGAGAAGCTTCCTTGGGGAGAGGAGCTGGAGTCACTCAGGTCCTGTGAGCAGTGAGGGTGTGCCCAGCTCTGCAGGAGAGAGAAGGCCATTTTCAAGGCCAAGGCTGTTTGTGGAGGAGGGAGAACTGGACACCGGTCAGATCTGGTAAGTTCTATACCAAATTTCCTGGGCGTTACAGAGCAGAAAAGGGACTTGCAGCTAGCATGTTAGGGCTATTTGGATACTCTCACACTTGGCGTCTGCAGAGGCACAACGCAGGACCCCAGAGAGCCAAGAACTCCCAGGTATCCCCCTTCTACCATACCTTCCTCTCTTATTCCCTGAAGGGGCGAGACAAGAACCTTGCTCCTCTTTCTCAGAGGGGCCAAAGGAACATCCTCTCTACCTGATCTACTCCAGACTCTCACTCACCTCACTCCTACCACGTCGCCAGCTGCCAAGGCAGACCATGGACTCAGCAGCCAAGGACAAAATACAGCCCGCACTTCTTCCTGGTACGAGCCTTGCTAGCCGGGCTGGGGGAAGGAGGATGGCAAGAAAGATGGAAGTAGTGGGCTGGGTTTTCCTGTAAGGTGTGGCTACACCTCTATGCGACGGTGAAGAGGGGGCTAACCTGCTGACTGGCTGAGGAAACAGGAGAGCAGCAGGCTTGTTAGCCACAGGCCCTCCCTGACTGACACAGCTGCCCAGGCTCTTCCTGTCCAGGGTCTGAGTGGCCAGAGCAGGAGAGGGCAGAGCAGCTGGCTCGGGGTGCAGCACTCAAGTGGGCCTCGGGCATTTTCTACCGGCCAGAGCAGCTGGCCAGGCTGGGCCAGTACCGAAGCCGGGAGGTGCAGCGTAACTATTTCCTGGAGGCACGCATTAAGGTGGGTTTAGGACAGGGGGCAGCAGTGTAGGAGTGGGCTGTAGGGATGGCCAGACTTACAAGCTAAGTCTCTCCACAGTCCGTGGTGCAGTCGTACCTGGAAGGTGTGCAGACCGGTGTGTGGCAATTGGCCCAAGCCCTTGAGACTGTGCAGGGAACACGTGACATCCTGGGACAGGCCCGTCACTTACTTCAGGGCTTGTCTCAGACCTCACAAACCCTAGCGCCCCTAAGGGAATGTGTTGTCCAGCACAAGCAACTTCAGGTCCTGACTCAGTTGCTGCCAAGACTACAGGCAGGTGAGTAGGGTGTGAGGGGAAGGGGGGGCAGTGTCCCTAGGCTCAGCTTCTAATAATCCACAAATACCCTTGCTGATCAGCAGCTGGGACACTAGGAAAGTGATTACATGGAGAGGTGCACCAGGGACATCCCAGAGAGTAACTCAGCTTCACAGAGTATATGAAATAGGGCACACAATCAACTCCTTCTGGGTGTTAGAGTCAACATGGACATTCCATTATGTGGCTGTAACCACAGTGGTTAACACATTGAAAGAAAGGGCTTTGGCTGTAGCTCAGTGGTAAATTCAATCCCAGGCATCCCCCCCAAATTACACACCCACACCCACACACACACACACACAAAGTTCAAGAATACTTCCATCCATATATACATCAACATATGTATACACATAAATTTACATATGTAGCTATGTTTGTAAATATTTCCCAGACAAGGTGGCTGAATAGCAACCCGCATGGTTTCCCATTTATTTTGTCTGTCCTCTAACACTTTTAAAGATTTTTATTTTAAGTGTATGTTTGAGTGCCTGAATGTATGTATGAGTACCTGGTACTGGCAGGGGTCAGAAGAGGACTTAGATCCCCCTGGGACTGGAGTTATAGGCAGTTGTGAGTTGCCACATGGGTGCTTGGAATCAAATCCATGTCCTATGCAAGAAGGCAGCCAGTGCTCCTAACCACTGAGCCATCTCTCTAGCCTCGCACACACCTCCCCGGCATTCTTGATTTCATGTTCTATTGGCTCAGGGGTTGGCATATGGCCCGGCTCTAGAGCTCAGATTGACCAACACTCCTGTGCTTATTACTAAATAATTAGTACACCATCATACCAGTCTCGGTACCCCTTGCTGAAGCAACAGCACAGATGGGAAGACTGAGGCCTCCAGCCACCTTCTTCCTTCACTAGTGCCAGCAGCAGTGGCCCACACACAGACCCTGATTGATGCTCAGCGATTCTTGGAGGCCTATGTGAGCCTACGGGAGCTGGAGCAGCTGCAAGAGGAGACGTGGATACCCCTGGGAGGGCTGGAGTTGCCAATATTCCAGGGTCTGGGCCTTCTGGCTGAGGCACTGGGCCAAGCAGTGGAGGCAGCTGCAGGGGCTGCTGGGCAACTAGCACGTGAGAATCCGGCCCTGCTGGTAGCTGCTGTTCGTGTGGCAGAGGTGGAGACTGAGCGTACAATCCTGGGGCACGCACCGCGAGACTGGCGGCAGCGGTGTCTCCGGGCACTACAGGAGGGCCTGGAGAGGGCCCATTTCGCATCACCCGTGCTTCCTGAGCCAGGAGCCCTAGCAGGGTGGCTTGAGGCTCTGCAGGTATCGCTGCCTGCTGAGATGGCAGCGGCCGAGGCACTAGTGGCACCCTGCTGCCCACCAAACTACAACGTGGTTCAGCTGTGGGCCCACACCCTGCACAGCGGCCTGCGCCGCAGTGTGCAGCGACTCCTCTCAGGGCCTGAGCTGGGAGCCGCTGACACCTTCGCCTTGCTGCACTGGGCACTGCACGTGTACATGGGGTGAGTGTTCTTGGGGAAGTGGGAAGTGGGGAGATTAGAGGCTCGGTATGACACCCTGCTATCCGTCTCTAGGAAGGAAATGATGGGGAACTTGGAACTGGGGCCCGAGGCTGATGTGTCCCAGCTAGAGCCCCTCCTGACCTCAGAGAACATTGAGCAGCTGGAGGCAGCATTTGTGGCCCAAGTCCAGGTGACTAGTTAGGGCAGAGGACAGAGGTGCTCTGCTCACCGTTTCTAGATGAACGACTTGTCAACGCCCTGTATGTCTTGCTGCTCCTTAACCCTTTCTTCCCAGGGAAGTGTGGCTCAGTGGCTGCAGAAGGCACTAGATGGGGAGGTAGCTGAGTGGAGCAGGGAGCAGGAGCCTAACACAGACCCGTCTGGTTTCTACCACTCACCAATGCCAGCCATTGTTCTGCAGGTGGGTAGGAAGTACCCAAGGCGAGTGGGCAGCTCCCACAAGGAAAGGGAGGTGGGCGGGTCCAGGGGATCTCTAAAGGCTGCCCCTCCCTGCCCGTAGATCCTGGCTGAGAACATTCAAGTGACCAGCCTGATCAGTGACTCGCTGCATCGGCGGGTGCGTGACATGGCGCTGTCAAAACTGGACACATTCCTGAGGAGGTTTGCCAAGCAGGGACCCACTCACAACCCCCAGCAGCCAAAGGGCTCTGAAGGAGTAGGGGAAGCCCGCACCGGTGGGGAGGGGCTCCTTTAAACAAGGCCTTGAGAGTGGGGCTGCAGTCATGGGGGGTGCCAGAGCAGCAGCAAACCCCAGCCCCCTCTGCCCACTACAGCTTCAGTGATGCCCTGATCCAGTTCTCTCGAGACCATCTCAGGAGAGAAGCCCCTCACTACGTACCCTACCTACTGGCTGCCTTCAACCACCACTCAGCACTGAGGTACTGTACACTCTTCTGAGTTCCCAAACTGCATGGGTGCCACCCACATTACAACCACTTTGGGCTCCCAAAGATGGGGTTCCAATAGTAGCTCTGCTAAGTGCTAGTTGTATCACAAAGTACATTTGTTTTGAGACAAGGTTTCTCTGTAGCTTTGGAGGCTGTCCTGGAACTGACTTTGTAGACCAGGTTGGCCTTGAACTCACAGAGATCGGCTTACCTCTGCCTCCCGAGTGCTGAGATTAAAGGCATGCACCACCACCCGGAAACTTTTATTAGTATTACCTGGGTAACAGTGGAATAGTCTGAAAATCATATAAGATAAAGATCTGAATATCTACCCCATTCTTTCAGCAAATATTTATCAAGGCTTTATATCAGATAACATCTGAAGTAACAGCTATGAACAAGAAAAATGTCCTCCCATTCCTCCTGCTTTGGGTCAAAAGTTCCACTCTGTGGTCCAGGCTGGCCTGAAACTGGTAGCAATCTTCCTTCTTCAGCCTCCACCAGGCCTGGCTATCTTCTTGAGTATTATGCTCTTGTGGTAGGCCAGGGACAGACAGACATACAAGTTGACGTTTTTTTTTTTTGTTGTTGTTGTTGGTTTTTTTTTTTTTTTCGAGACAGGGTTTCTCTGTGGCTTTGGAGGCTGTCCTGGAACTCGCTTGGCAGTCCAGGCTGGTCTCGAACTCACAGAGATCCGCCTGCCTCTGCCTCCCGAGTGCTGGGACAAGTTGACGCTTTTTACTCCCTCTTGTTTCCTCCCTTACCGATGAGGAAAGAAAACAACAGGAAGAATGACTTAACTCAGATTACATTAGAGGCAAGTCCTCTGAGCATGCCCTTTCTAGCCTTTCAGAATACCTGAGACCTTCCTAAGCTCAGAGCCGCTCCCGCCCCCGCTCCACACTGTGCACCACAAGGTGGCGCTAGAATGGATGACTCCTTAAGGACCGTGCGAGCCTTGGCCTTGGTCCTGAAGTAGTACTTTTGGTTGGTTCAGCTCTTCGTTATCCGTCCTGCTGCCCGCCGGGGAAGCTTCAGGGGTCTTGGCTCCAGTAGAGGCCACGCTGGACGACGTACAGAGGAGGATCTGCCGTCTGGTATTGGAAGCACTGCAGGTTGAACTCCAGGTGAGGCTTCCATTCCAGTCAGGGTAGAGACATGGTATATTTATGGTTGTCTCTGCGGGATCTGGATCTTTTCTCTAACCTGCCTCTGCCATGCTTTTCCTAGCCCCTGTTCGCATCTCTGCCCTCGCGCCAGTGGCTCTTGAGTTCTGAGTTGCTGGACGATGTGTGTGAGCAGACGTCGCACTTTTGCCAGGATTTCTGGCGTGTGCGGAAGCCTGCAGTTCAGGTGGAGCCGGGAGAGGAAGACTGGGGAAGGGCCACTGCTAATGGGGCACTGCTAACGCAGTTACCTGTCCCGCAGCTGCTGCTGGCGGAGGCGGAACGAACCGTGGTGTTGCAATACCTGCGCGCGCTGATGCAGGGCCGCCTGGTGTGCCGCAGTGCAGACGAGCGGACCCAAGCGGCTGAGCGCCTTCGGCACGATGCTACCCAACTTAAGGAGCTTTTTCTGGGTTTGGTGAGAGCTGGTTGGGAGAGCAGGGAATCTCAGTAGTCGGGTGGGAGCCGAGGGCCGGCTGGAAACCCTGCCCCAATGTGTTTAGGGCCTGGAGGAGAGCGCTCACTGCGCGCCGGTGCTGCTCGCGCTGCGGGAACTGCTCAACCTCCACGACCCCACGCTGCTTGGCCTCGAGGTGGCGGGCCTGAGGCAAAAATTTCCGGACGTGAGGTGCGAGGAAGGGGACAGGGGAGGAGGAGCCCGGGAGGGCAAGGGCGGGTCTGACAGGCGTGGTGATATTCCTGCAGCGAGGATCATGTCTCGGTCCTCTTGGACCTGCGCGGGGACGTGTCCCGGGAGCATCGCCAGGCAGCACTCAGTTCCCTGCAGGCCGGCCCACCGCCCTCACCTTCCACTGGTCGCCGTGCACTCTTCAGCCTCGTGCCGACGCCTACGCCCTCCCTGTCCTCCTGCCTCCCCTCGGGTCCCTGCTCCTGACCCACCTGTCTGCGTAATAAAGCCACGTCCACCGCGTGTCTGAATTTGTGTGTTGGGGCACGCGGGTGTTGGAATTAGCGGTGAAATGAAATTAAGGGCCCATGCACAGTGGCACTCTTAATCCTGGTTGCAAAGTATTCTGACAGCATCTCGCCTATGCAGGCATCTGCTCTCTTTGTGAATTGCGTCCCCCGAACCCTGGGCTCCCGCCGAGTACTCGGTGTCCATGTATCCACCCGCCGGCAATAAGTGTCTCCACCGCCCTCGCGAGTTGCTTTAGAAGCCAGAAACTGGTGGAGGGGGAGGTTTAGGACGGCACCCCGCCCAGGGGCGTAGCGTGGCCGTGATCCCGCCCTCTTTGCACGCCTGGCTCCGCCTGCAGTGGGCTTAAGCTCGCGCTACCGCGGAAACTGACGTGAGCCTGCGCGTCTTCGTGTGAGCGTGCGCGCGCCCGAGTGCGTGAGTGTCTGGCGCCAGCTCCCACAATCTCCGAGACCTGCGACCCGCTTTGAAGAGCAGGAATTGCGGACAGCAAAAGAGGCACGAACAGGTGGGGGCGCGGCACGCGGACCGAACCCCCGTCCCAACTCCAAAGACCGAGACTAAGCTTGCGACCTGGCCCGTCTTGATTAACCAGAGAATTCCCCCCACTCCATTGTCTTCTAGCCCCGCCCTCCATTGGGCACGCCCTTCACCCTGCCCCACGCCCCTTATTGGCCCCAGAGCACGCCCTCCCGATCTCTGGGTTCCCATTGGCTCTTCTCCCACAGTCACCTCTTTCCAAGAGTTCTTATTGGTGTGGGCCACACGCTCTCATTTGTCACCAGACCCCGCCTTCAGCAGTCAGGGTCTCCACCCCTCACCTTGCATTCATTCATTCTGCGACTGGGATGAGAGGGTAAATCACACCCTCCCTGACCTCGGGGAGTTCAGGGCACGGTGGGGGAACATGGACCTAGCCTCCAGCCGTGACAGCCTAGGGCTGTCAAGAAGCCATCAAGACCCTGGGAGCCTGTACACATCGGGAAGGCTTCCTAGAGAAAGTGAGGCCTAAACTGAGCCCTGAAAAATGGTTAAGAGGTTACTCCAGGGACACATTGGCCAAAGAATTCTTGGCAGAAGAACCTGAGGCATGAAAGAAACAGGTACATTCTGGTAATTACGAGGAGAGAGGTTGGGATGAATGAAGGGAAATGGACAAACTGGCCCAGGGAGTGACTGGTAGGTGTCCAGGAAAGTATGCAGTTCGAGGATGAATAAAGTCTAAGACTTGAAGCCTTTTTTTCACGCAGCTGATCACTAGGTAAGGTCGGAGGAGGGCTCCGAGGAGGTAGAGCAGGTCTAGATGGGGAAAGGATTGATTCTAGTTTCGTTTTAAGATTTGTTTTTAATTTTTATGTTATGGGTATGTGCAAGTGCCTGTGGAGACCGGAAGAGGGCGTTGGCCACCCCCACCCCCACCTCTGGAGTTATAGGTAGTTGTGATGGGTGCTAGGAACTGGGTTCGGGTCCTCTGGAGGAGCAGCAAGTGCCTTAACTGCTGAGCCATCACTCCAGCCCTGTGGCTCCAGCTTTTACAAAGACTTGGGTTCATTGATTACAGTGCTGGAGTAGGGACTGTTCTGGGCTTGGAAACACATCTGAAAGTCCTGGGAAGGAGAAAACAGATAAAGTTCACGGCAGTACACTTTAGATGACATCAACTGCTGCAGAAAAAGCCTAGTTACAGAAGAGAGCTTTGCTCTTTTGTAGAGATTTGCTAGTGCTTTTTACCTTGATCCTTTATTTTCTCTCTCTCCAACGCTTTTGAGACAGGTATTGCTATGTAGCCCAGGCTTGCCTGGAATTCGCAATTATCCTGTTTTGGCCTCAAGAGTTCTGGGATTACAGATGTGTATCACTACATCTGATGGAGAGCAGCTTTTCTTCTGTTTTTAATTATTTTATTTTATTTTTACTTATTTTTTTTAATGTATGAGTGTGCTGCATGTATACCTGCACACCAGAAGAGGGCACCAGGTCTCATTACAGATGGTTGTGAGTCACCATGTGGTTGCTGGGACTTGAACTCTGAAAAAGCAGTCAGTGCTCTTCACTGCTGAGCTATCTCTCCAGTTCCTAAATTTTTTATTAAAACATTTTCATGTGGGCAGTGGTGGTGAACATCTTGCCTTTAATCCCAGCACTTGGTAAAGGTATATGTTTTTTAGAGACAAGGTTTCTCTGTAGCTTTGGAAGCTGGCTTAGAACTCGCTCTGTAGACCAGGCTGGCCTCAAACTTACAGATATCTGCCCGCCTCTGCCTCTCCAGTACTGGGATTAAAGGTGTGTGCCACCAACACCACTACCACCTGACATTTTCATGAATTTTGATCGTGTTATGATACTCCCCCAATTATTCTCAGATCTTCTCCACTTCCCTACTCAACACTGAACAACTTCTTCTTCTTCCTCCTCCTCCTTCCTCCTTCTCTCTCTCTCTCTCTCTCTCTCTCTCTCTCTCTCTCTCTCTCTGGATGTGTGTAGGATATTTTTTTCTAATGTGATATTTATGCAGATTTTTAGGAAAGTGAGCAAGTGACCCATACTATTTATTATATGTGGAGTGGTACCTTTTTTCGTAATGGGCATATTCAGTTTAAGGTACCTGCAAATGTTTAAGGTATCCTGAAGGTCAGGTATGCTGGTTGGCTTAATCCTGACCCAGGACTAGAGGAGTTGAGAAAGGAAGACTGTGAGTTGAAGGTTAGCATGATCTACATAGGGAGACTGTCTCTTAAACAAAATTAGATAGTTTGTGGCAGGAGTCTGGACTGTTGTATTTAAAACCATGGTCATGAGGACTGGAGATATAGACCAGTGGGAGAAGGTACACTTAATGTGTACAAGGCTCTGGGTTTCATCCCTGTCATCAAAACAAACAAACCAACCACAAAATTGGATGGGATCTTAGGATTCTAGGGTGTCAGTATATAACTGGAAAAGAGTCGTTACCATAGACAAGTCTTGGGATGTTACAGTATGAAAAGGTTGGGAAGATAGGGATAACTGATAAGAAGACCAAGAAGAAACAGCCGGGGATGTGGGAAGAAAACTAAGTTCTAGTGTATTTGGAAAGGGAAATGGACATTATGTTCCCAGGATGAAACGATTACCGTACCAGGTGCTATAGATCAGCATGGTGATCATTAGTGACCTTGGTCAGCTCAGTATGATGGAGAGCAGGGCATATGCATACTCAGTGCGAGTGAACTTGGGAGAGAACAGGAAGGTGAAACGGGAGATGGGGTACATGACTTAGGGGACTGTGCTGCCACAAAGAGCGGCGGAGGGAGTTGTTCTGATTCATGTAAAGGTTTTGCTTTGTTTTTAAGATGGAGGAATAGCAGCATGTATTTGTGCTGACGGAGAGGATCCAGGGGCGAGGAAGACTGGTGGTGTAGGATCAAGGAGAAATCCTGGAGCAGAGTCCCTGAGCAGGCGAGGGAGCTCAGAGGCTGAAGTCTTCAGTCAGTCTCTGGGGAGAGGGCGAATTGCACTGAGCCCTGGCACACGGTCAGGGGTGAGTACTCTGATGGTGGCCTCGGATGACCACTGGGAGATACCTCAGACAGGAGACAGTCCAGGGGCTAGTTTGAAGGGAACTGTTTTCCTCTAATTCCCAAAAGCGGATTCTAATTCAGTTCTGAGATGATCCACAGGAGACAGCATTCCGTGTGGGGACTGGCAGGAGCAGGGCACACTCATTCAAACTGACTGATTACAGATGGCAGGAGGGTACAGACGGAGCGAGATGAAGGGGTCAGAGGGATGCTGCCGTCGGTACAAGGCAGAATACGGGCTTCCCTTACCGATGGTCCATATGGGGATCTGCATTCTGCCAGCCCCAGACTGGGCAAGTGCTGAGCACTGAGATCAGAGCCATGTGTAGGGTTTTCGTTTTAGCTCTAAGTCTAACCATCTGAGAGGATTCTAGCAGGTAGGAGAATGTATAAAATTCTTCCTCTTGCTTTGCCCCTCCTCAGACTACTTGGGTAAACCTGGTGGAAGGGATGGACACTGGGGAGGGTGGACAGTTTCTCAGCAGCAGACCCTGGATCCAGCAAGGATAGCACGGAACACAGGGCTTTCTCCTCTGACTACGTCTACTCATACTGGTCTCTGCATGCCCTTGTGTGTCCCTAGAAGTCAACAGTGTGGGAAGTTGGAAAGACCCAGCTGGATGTAACCCTCAGGACAGAATGGTGCTGGACTCAGGGGCTCAAGTGTATGAGCGGGCACCCCCCAGCCCACCTGTCAGTCCTCCGTGTCAGCGCCACAGGTTGAAGTCCTCAAACCGAAATGCACCGCCACCCCTGTACCCCTGGCCTCAGTCCCTGGCTATGCCTTTGGCTCTGGCAGTTCCCTCGGCACTACAATCCCAGCCCATGTGGCAGACCTTCTCAAAGCTGCAACTGGGACAGCGTAGCCACATGCGTCGCAGTGAGAGCTCCTACAGTGTAAACAGCACTGGCCAGCGGAGGCCAGGCAAAACTCCACTTGGACGGGGATGTGATCCAGGTGGAGGGGCCCTGCGGCCCGCAGCCTCCTTACCGCACATTGCTAAGACACGAAAGGACATAGGCAACGGTAGCAGCAAGAGCCCCTGCATGTTAGTGGCCCTGCGACCGACCAACATGGACCAGGAACGGGAGAAGTTCTTCCAGTCCCACTACACCTACAACCCCCAGTTCGAGTACCAGGAGCCAATGCCAATGAGTGTGCTGGAGAAGTACCAGGAGGCCTCTGGACAGTTCATCCATCAGGTCAGTCCAGCCTGCCCATTTCACCCTGGCCCTGGCTACCCAAGGCACCTAGCCTGACTAGTGACTGTGGCCCTGTGTACAGGCAGTTGGCATCATCGAGGCTGTCCTGGAGAAGTTTGGCACTTATGAACACTTTGAGGCTGCCACAGGGGGCCAGCTGCTGACCAAGTGCCAGATTTGGTCCACTGTGCGCAAATACATGCAGAAGGAGGGCTGTGTTGGGGAGGTAAGTTTGCCCTGTCTACAGGACCCGCCTCCTCTGTGCCCCAAATCAGGCTACCTAGCTGATAGGCCCAGCTATACACCTGGCCTGCTGTAATCCCCAGACATATCCCTGCCCCAGCCCCAGTTAAGGAAGAGCTGGATTTGAAGGGTGGGTGTCATGGCCAGCGTCTAGCCTGGTGTCCCCTGCCACCCTGCAGGTTGTGGTGCAGCTGAGTGAGAACTTGCTGTCCCAGGCAGTGATGATGGTGGAGAACAGCCGACCCACACTGGCCATCAACTTGACTGGAGCCCGCCAGTATTGGTTGGAGGGCATGCTGCGGCATGAGATAGGTCAGTCTGGGGGGCATTCGTGTGGGTGGGGAGGGTTGAAAGGTATTAAGAGATGGGGGCAGGGCAGTGTGGGCCTGCAGTAGTCCCCTCCTTTCTCCCCTTTCCTTCCCTCTGGGAGAAAACAGGCCTGTTGATCCCTAAGCAGATACCTCTTCCTTCTCATTCATAGAATTAGGTCGGATATGCCTGCCCACCCTCTGGGCTGACCTTCATTCTTCCTTTGGTCATCTCCCCAATTCCTCTCTGGTTTCCTTTGACAGTGAGGGGAAGACTTTTGAGGTCCTAACAGGCCAGAAAGAATTCTGAGGGTTCCACCAGACTAGCTAACATACAGGCCCACCAGGGTGGGTAGCAGGCCAGATCCTAGGAATGAAATTACTTGAAGAAGACACATGGATAAAAATTGAGACCAGACTAGGAAGAGGAGCACAGGACACTAGTCACTGTCCTCACCAGGCGTGAATCTTGTTGCTCTGGGCAAGAAGTGATTTTGATTGGGGCATTTGCATGACTGTCAAAATAGTTGGTGTGGGCATGGGGCATTCGCATGACTGTCAGGGTGGTTGGCATGGGTACTGGGATGTTGGGGCAGGGTGGCATGTGCTTGGTCTCTCCGACGGATAGGGCACCGTATAAGTTGGTATGCAGGAGATGGGAAAATAGGCAGAGTAATCTCTCCTGGACCAAAAATCTTCTTGCTGCAGGAGTTGAGTGAGGATGAATTTAGGTAGGGCTTGGGGTGACTTGTGTGAGGTGAATTTGGGGGCACCAAGACTAAGAGTGTCTACTAGGGGTCCTGGGAGTGAGTTCAGCCCCCTCTTCGTCCCCCCTTCAGGCACCCACTACCTGCGTGGCGTGAACAACGCCCGACAGCCATGGCACAGCACCGAAGGCAGACTGCAGTATGGGCTTCAGCCGGCCAACCCCACTGAGGAGGGCCTGGCCAGCCTGCACAGTGTGCTGTTCCGAAAGCAGCCATTCCTGTGGCGCGCAGCCCTGCTCTATTACACCATTCATCAGGCTGCGCACATGTCCTTCCGTCAGCTCTTCCAGGATCTGGCGCAATATGTGCAGGATGAGACTGTGCGCTGGGAATACTGCGTCCGTGCGAAGAGAGGACAGACGGACACCTCCCAGCCAGGTGGGAGCTGCGGAGCTGGGGGAACGCCCAAGCTGGTGCAACGTGAAGGGTGGATTCTGGGTAAGGATTTACTGACTCTCACTCTCACAGGTTGCTTCAGCAAAGACCAGGTTTACCTGGATGGCATTGTGCGCATCCTGCGGCACCGTCAGACCATTGATTTCCCGCTGCTGACCTCTCTGGGCAAGGTAAGGGGCAGCAGGCCTACCGAGACCCCAGCCAGCTTCTCCTGACTCCCTGGAAACCAGGCCTCTCTGGTGTAGGAACTTGGGTAGGGTGGAGGTAAGCAGACAAGAAGAAAAAGAATTTTGGTATCCCAGATGAGGTGTGTGACCCAGCCTGCCGATGTGTGCATACATTTCAAAGGAGGTGAGTGTTCCAGGACAAGGAAGCAGTCAGAAAGTTCTGGGGAAGGAAGCTGGAGAAACGGCCACGGACCAAAACCCAAGTCCTGAGTATCTGTACTAGGTGGAGGAAAGCAAACCTTACCAGAAGCAAAGGGGAGTTAGAGGAGCTCCGATAAGGGTGGGACACAGCTTTGCTTTAGGAGGCTCCTACTGGGTGTCATGTGGGAGGCGCACTGAAAAGGCCTGGTTGGCAAGGGGATGAGGCTTCCCATCGCTCTGACAGAATTAATAATCAGGCAGGAGCATGGATGCGAAGGGATGAACTACAGAGAGCAGAACTCTTTGTCTGTTTGAGTCCCTGAATGGGAAGATGAGAACCCAGCTTCCCTTTCTTGGCCCTGCCTGTGGTGACGGTGAAGAGGTGGCCATGGCAGCTAGCATTCAGCAGTCTCACGCTGGATGCAGGAGATATCTGAGAGATACCCAGGTGTCCGTTGAATACTGCTTAGAGGTGAGGCGATACGGTAGCTGGGCTGGAGGAGAATGGGTTGTAGAACACAGATGGAAGATTTACAGAGAAAGAGAGAAGACCCAGGGCTGAGCCCGAAAGTACCTATTGTGGGAGTAGATCAGGAGCAGAGGAGTCATCCCAGGAGCAAATGGCCCTGAGCCATCAGTAGATCTGGGACTAGCTACTTGAAAGCTAAGGGCTTTGTTTTCTCCCAATAGGTCTCCTATGAAGATGTGGACAAACTGAGGCCCTATGGGGTACTAGAGAATACCCGAGTGCCCCACTTTATGAAGGACTTGGGGCGCTACCAGCAGCAGCTGGAACACATCATGGCTACCAACCGGCTGGATGAAGCAGAGCTGGGCCGCCTGCTGCCCAACTGATGTTGGTTATAGACAGAAGCTCTCGACAGAGGTCTCAGATCAGAATATGAAGTTCTTTATGGTTCCATAGCCTAGGTGTTTCTTGGGGCGCACTGGGAGGCCAGGAGCATTTTGGGAAGATGAGAGGCAATGCCAAAAGGTTTTTGTCCTTGCTAGTCTTCCTAGGGCCTGTGAACTTGCAGCAGCATGTCATGTAAACTCCTCAACAAGGGAGACCTGGGGACAGGAAGGGACTGATGTGAATAGGAATGTGGGTTGGTTTGGGAATAGAAACTTGTTCCTGCATGAGATGGCTTTGGGTGTCTGGTACCAGTGTTTCCCTCCCCCCCTGGACTATTGGTGCTCTTCAGCATTCGGACTGTCTACCTCTCCCTGGGTCTAGTGTAAGTTGGGATCCCCTCTGAGGTGACGTACCTGAGCATAGGGTCCTGGCTTTCACTCAGGCTCAGAGACCCAGCTGGGCTGGAGTTTGCTTTTCTGCATTTTGTCTCTCCCATCGGTTTTATATTATTCCATATTTGCCTCCATGCATTCATTATTCATGCCTCCAGCTGGGACTGGGAGGCAACAGCTCCTAAAAGTCCAGTGGAGGGACAGGATACTTTTGGAAAGGTACCATTTGTTCCTAGTCCCCCTCTTTTTTTTTTTTTTTTTTTTTTGAGACAGGGTTTCTCTGTAGCTTTGGAGCCTGTCCTGGAACTCACTCTGTAGACCAGGCTGGTCTGGAGCTTACAGAGATCCGCCTGCCTCTGCCCCCCCCCCCAGTGCTGGGATTAAAGGTGTGAGCCGCCACCACCCATCCCTAGTCCCCCTCTTATCACATGCTGGGCTTCAGGCCTTGTGAGTCCAACATCTGGCCCACCCTCAGTGCCCACACTAGTGTTGTGCCTGGCTTTGACCACACCCTCCAGCTGGTCTCTGGCAGTGGTTGGTACAGGCGGGGTGGGGGGGTGGGGAGTGGGGGTTAGGGGGGACCACAATCAAACCTGCAGGTCAGGCCTATAGGATTTGTCATCTTAAGTTCTGAGTCTGTCTGGGGCCAGAAGTACAGAACTGGCTAATGCTTACATTTTCACTTCAGATTCAACCGTGAGAGATTGAGCCAGCAAGCCAGCGCTGTCCCTACCCTGGCCTCTTATTTCTCATCTGTGAATCACAGCTGGGAAGTTCTTATTCATTAACTTAATAGATGTGTACAGAGCTCCTTGTGTATGCGTGTGACTAGTTAGACCCTCACTGAGCTCCCAGTTCAGAGGAAAGCCAGATAATTAAACAGCAGTTACACTGATGTGTGTGGCCTCTGTCTACTCAAACTCCCTCTCGGGTCTCCCCTTCAAGACTGAGTTCCAAGACTTCCCTCATGCCGGGGGTTGGGGTGGGAGGGGGGGTGGGGGGCGCGGTGTGGGGGTGTGTGGGGTGTTCAGGTCCCCTTTCCCTTGCTTAGTATATGGAGCCTAGTGATCTCTGTGGAGTAGAACTTACTTACACAGGCTCCCAGCTGGTTCCTGAAGGAAAAAACGGCAGTGGGGCAGGGGTCACATCCCATTAGGGGCCTGAGACCTCCAGAAATATAGTTTGGGCTATTTTGGGGGTGGAATGTGGTTGCCAGGGTGTGGGTGTTTCACATAAGACTGCTCAGGTCAGCGGGATCCAAACCCATGCCCACCCTCAGTTCTTGAGCAAAGAATCAGCGTTGTGGAGAGTCAGGTCCAGGCTAACCCTCCCAAGTTTATTCATTTTGCAGTAAATGGAGTTTTGGTGCACTGAGTCAAGCTCTGGCAGGTTCCCAGGTCTTATCCAGCTCGGGTAGGGCTTGTACAGGTCTGGATGCTGGCCTTCAGGAATCTAAAGACAAGGAGGAGGATGGTCAGTGGATTGGGTGTCAGCCCTCACTACAACCTCTAACAAGCCTGGAAGCAAGGGTTTAGGCAGTCTCACAACCTTCAGACTCAGCCTCCTCTTCTTGGAAGTCCGGCTCCGGCTCCGGCTCCGGCTCTGGCTCTGGCTCCGGCTCCAGCTCCGGCTCTGGTTCTGCCTCTGGTTCCGGTTCCATTTGTTCCGGCTCCTCCGCTTCGAAGACTTCAGCTTCTAGTTCTGGCTCCTCTGGAGTTCCAGATTGCACTGCCTCAGAGCCCTCAGGACCTCCGAACTCCTCTTGCTCTGAAGCTCTGGGCAGCCCAGGACATGTGGTCCCTGAACTGGGTGACTCAGGCGTCCAGTGGCCTGGGCATGGAGGGTCATAGCTGCGGTCCCGGTACCCTGGGGGAGACAGTGAAATACTTGAGGCTCAATTCATCCCTCCGTGATTAGTGGCCTCCACATTCTCTGCCCTCCACTTACCCTTAGTTTTGCCTCAACCCAAGCCACGCCCCCATCTCAACACGGCTCCACCCTCCTGGTGCTCACCAGGCCCCACGTGCTGCCAATCCCAGGAAGGGTCTGGCACACGCACGGTATGCTGGGCACAGCGCAGTAGCTCCTGGCAGGCTGCCTCGCCCTTGCTCTGCACCAACAACAGCAGACGGCGCACCCTGCGCTCTGCATCAGGCAGTGCATCCAAGGCTTCATACTCAGGCCCAGTGAGCACGCCCCGGGCAACCAGCGCATCCAGCAACAGCCCAGAGTCAGCCTGCAACGTGTCTACCAGCCGTTTCCGTTCTCGGTCAATGATCTCCGATGGCCGCTCCTGCACGTTGCCCATGTTTGGGCTATATCAAGGAGAAGGAGAGATATGGGGGGAAGGAGGTGCGGGGGCGGGGTGGTTGGCGTCCCACACACTGACCTCTCCCAGGAGGGATCTAAGTTCACCTGGACATCAGAATCTGGATGTTTCTTCAGCGGAAGACCTGGAAGCCAGGCGCACAGAACTCACCCTCTGGCCTGTTGGTTGCTTCTGTTCTGACTCCTTAGGTTCCTCTTCCGGTCTCTGCCTGTGAGCTGAGTGCTCACCCTAGTTAGGCTACGCCGGGTGTTGGTGGCGCACGCCTTTAATCCCAGCAGAGGCAGGTGGATCTCTGTGAGTTCGAGGCCAGCCTGGTCTACAAGGTGAGTTCCAGGACAGCCTCCAAAGCCACAGAGAAACCCTGTCTCGAAAAACCAAAAAAAAAAAAAAAAAAAAAAAAAAGCCTGCTGCTACCAAACTAAGAACTGGGTGCAAATTAATCTACTCTGCTCATCTATTGTCGCTAAGGACTACTGCTCACGGGGGTTGTGTGGCCAGTCAGCATTAAGGAAAAAAGAAATCTGGTCATTCCTTTTGCCTTAGCTTTGTCCATACAGCGTCCTTCTAGGTCTCTTCTGTCCTGAATGTCCCTGTCCTACCTTCTTCTTTCCTAGGCCATCGGATCACACCCCCCAACACACACACACACACTCACACACACGCATGCACACACACTCACACACACACACACCCAACACACACACACCCAACACACACACTCCCAACACACACCACACACACTCACACACACATGCACACACACTCACACACACGCATGCACACACTCACACTCACACACACGCATGCACACACACACTCACACACACGCATGCATACACACGCACGCACACGCACGCACACACATGCACACACACTCACACACGCATGCACACACACTCACACACACGCATGCACACACACTCACACACACATGCACACACTCACACACACATGCACACACACACCCAAACACACACTCACACACACACGCATGCACACACACTCACTCACACTCACCACACACACCCAACACACACACTCACACACTCACACTCACTCCCAACACACACCACACACACTCACACACATACACACACACCCACACACACGCACACACACACACACCAACACACACCACACACACACGCATGCACACACACACTCACTCACACTCACACACACCACACACACTCACACACACCCAACACACACACTCACACACTCACTCCCAACACACACACACACATACACACACTCACTCACACACACACTCACACACATAAACACACACTCACACACACGCACACACACTCTCTCACACACACTCACACACCCCAACACACACCACACACACGCATGCGCACACACACTCACACACACTCACACACACTCACGCACACTCACACCACACACACCACACACACATACACACACTCACACTCACCCACACACACCCACACACACCACACACATACACACACCACACACACATACACACTCACACACACTCACACACACATTCACACACATACACTCACACCCACACTCATACACACACTCACACACATACACATTCACACATACACCACACACACTCACACACATACACATTCACACACACACTCACACACACTCACTATGCCTCCCAGGTTTCAGGGCTCCCAAACTATACTGTCCCTGGTCACTTCACACCTTGGGTCCCCCTCCACCCCTCATAGCTAAGTGACAGCCCTTCATCAAGGCCACTAAGCGCAGACCAGGGAGACATTTCCTCCTATCCTATCCTGTTGCTGGAGCTTCTTGTGTCCCGTCAGGTCCCACTGCCACTTCAGCCCCAAATAAACTTACGGACGATATATTAATTATAAAACTGCTGCCTGATGGCTAGGACTTCTTATTGGCTAGCTCTGTCTTAATTATTAACCCATTTCTATTAATCTAAGTATTGCCACGTGGTCTTATCTTACCAGAGAAGGCTCTGGACCTGTTACTCCTTCTGGGGCTACATGGCGTCTCTCTTTGCCTACGTTTGCCAGAATTCTCCTCCTCTCCTAGTCCCCCCCCATCTTTCTGCCTCTATTGGCCAAACTGCTTTATTCATCAACCAATAAGAGAAACATATATACAGAAGGACATCCCCCATCACTATCCCCCTCCATGTCCTTTCTGTGTCAAATGCCCTATAGTCACTCTGCATCAGCTCCTGCCCCTTAAGCCCCCCATCAGCAGTTTGTCTCCTGGAACAATGAGGGCCTCTGAGTATCTCACTCATGCCCACTCCTCCCTTCCCTCACTCCAACATAGTGACTTTGACAACTTTGGGCTAGCATTTATTGTCCCAGCTTTATGGGTGAAGAGACAGGCTCAGAGAAAGCCAGCAAACTGGAATCTGACTTGCCCTAGCTTAAACTATAATGTCTCTTGCCTAGTTGAGTGCCAGGCCTATGCCCCTGTCCTCCGTTCTCATTACCCATCAAAGAATCTAAGCTGCCTGATCTGGCAATTTTAATTCCCTCCCCACCAGGTCAGCCAGGTTCTTTGCCATTTCCATCCACCATTTAGTCCTGCAAGAATAATTATGGTCCTGGCACCTCTGCCTCTGCAGATGCTGCTCCCTAGGCCTGGGAGTCTCTTCTCTCCCCTCTGTTCTACGTATCTAGCCCTCAAGACTGAAAAGCTCCCAGGTCTACCTCAGCTCTTGATAGTTCAAAGGCAGCTGTGGTCCTCATTACTATGTTTACTGGGATCCCTAAGCTGTGTGCCCAGGACCTCTCCTCGCCTCAGAGTGGCTTCCCAGCTTACAGGGAAGGGGGTGATGCCGTCATCGATTCTGGCCAGACTTTGAGGCTGGATCTTCTCTTTTCCCTCCCCGTGCCCTAAGTTGTTTTTATGTTAACTGCCTCCCCGGTAACTTAAGTCTTGTCTGAGAAGCGGAGACCTTAGCTGTTTTAGACCTTAACTGATTGATTTTTTCGAGACAGGGTTTCGCAGTCGTAGCCGTGGCTATCCCGAATCTCAGACATTCGCCTGCCTCTGCCTCCTGCGTGCTAGGATTAAGGACTGCCGCCACTACCACCCGGCTGGACCCTAGCTGATTTGGGGCCTTCCTTTGAGGTTATCATGGCTCTAGGGTGAACTCTGGTTATGCCCTGGCCAGGGCATCAAAGGACAAGACTAAATGTTACTCTGAGCCCCAGTCTAAACGTTATTTTGAGCCCCAGGTGACTTGTCTAGTCTGGGACCCCCAGCTTGCTGGCTGGCTGGGATCTGTTGGGGAACCAGGGTGGAACCTGCAAGAGCTGATCGCGCATGCGCAACCGCAAGGGTCCCCCTCACCAGCCCTCCACTCAATCTTAAAATCTTAAAGCTTCAGCCCTGCGGAAGGGCGGGGCCCACAGACCTTGCAGCTCCGCTGCTGGTGGTGAGGCTCGGTATTCTGCCCAATCTGTTTCCTTTCCCTCCCTGCTGGGTGGAGTCCGGCTTGTGGTCCGGAGCGTTTCGGACGGCCCCACAACGGAGTTGAGCCTCACCGGGGCAGATGACAGTGCAGAAAGGGCCGAGCGAGCGGGGTGGGGACGCGAACAGCAGCTGCAAAGGGGGCGGGGCGGCCAGGGCTGCCGGGAATGGGGAGGGGGAGGGGTGTGCTCCTCTGCTTCGGCGAACTCGGACGCCAGATGCGGAGGCCAAGCTGGGGGGGGACGACGACGACACACGCATAGTCCGTTCTCCTCCCCCGCCCTAGAGCACCCGGATTTGAGTCGGGGTCAGTTCAGCTCACATTACCACGTGTCCAGCCCGCTTTGGGCCTTGTAATTGTTAGGTGCTTTTAGTTTGCCCTCCTACGACCCCTCCCTCCGCCTGTCACAAATAAGTTTATAGAAGGGAACTGACATGCCCAGAGTCTGAGACACACACGTATATAGAGGAGCTGGATGTGGCGAGGAAACGCCTGCCTGCCTCCTGGAGGTTACAATGGTTGGCATCGCAGTGCACGTGGGAGAGTTAGGCACTGGCCAAGTACCACCATTCTCCAGGTAGGGGTTCCATGAAAGTCTGAGCGTCTGGACGTTTCCAGGTCCAAACATCTGGACACTTGCATGAACTCAAAGTCGTCGCCCACCCGTGACTCTAATGATCTTTGGTTGACAGAAAAAAAGGGAGACCAGAAACAGAGTGGGGAAATGCAGTTTATGTTGTACAACTCACTGGGGTAGTGGAGAGACGCTGCCACATAATGGGGCTTCGCTTACCGCCCCGCCTCACCCCCCGGGGGACGCCGAGAAGCCTGAAGGGGTGTGCTGCTGCAGGCCGGTTCCTTAGCCAGGCTTTTAAGAGGTGGAAGTCTCAAGGGGAAGAGGGATTGACTCCAGGATCCAAGTAGGAGGCGCTGCTTGCAGGAGCATTGTAAAGGGGTACAGCCCCAGGCACTGACAGGGCTGCACCCTCCAAATCTGCAGGAACACCCAGGAGCAGTGGAGTTCCCAGCGTGTGGTCTTTCCCTAGGAGGAGTAGGCCGAGCTTCAGTTAGGAATATCACAGCATCGGCATACACACACACTCTTTAAAGGCGGTCTTGCTGCAAAGCCCAGGCTAGCTTTGAGCTCATGATCCCAAATCCTGGGATTACAAGCATGCTCTACCATATCTAGTTTAAATCATCATCCTTGACCTCACTCCTCTCACACAATGAGGGTAGTATGGGTGACTCCAGGGGGCTCTGCTAGGCAGTCTGAATTCAGGCTCACCCCCCCCCCACCTAAGCTGCCCAGCCCACCCAATCATGGTAATTCAGATCACGGTGGCTTCTGCCCAGGAGTCCCCACCACCATTACCTACACCTGAGGAATTCAAGTCCTTGACTGTCAGGTCAGCCTCACCCCTCTCCTGAGCCAAGGGCTGCATCTGCATGAGAGAACCCCAGGAAGCAGCTGAGAAGGGGGCCCAGAAATGGACAATAGAGCGGAGGAATCGCCGGGGCAATTCCTCAGCCACTCCTTTCTTACCAGAGACAACTCCATGTCCAAATCCATCAGGGTCCATTCTCGTCCTTGCAGGCTGGGGCCCAGCACCTGGGAAGAGGTCGGGTAAGCGGTGCCTTTAAAGGCCGCACAGACTGCTCAACTTTGTGTGTCTCATGTCCTGCCCCAGGCAAAGATACTCACATCCATGGGTGCTATGGGCTCCACAGTTTCAGGGGGAGGCCGAAGCAGCATCGGGGGCAGCAGACTCTCCGGGCTCCGGTTACCCCGATCCAGGCCCAGAGTTCCCCTGTGCACAAAGAACTGTTATTGGTCTATAACACCCACCTCCTATTAGTTCCTAAGGAACTTGAATCGTCAGGTTTAAATTGTTCCAACAACTAGAACATGCTAAGAGACAATACTTTCCTTCAATCCCCTCTGTAATAGGATTTTTTTTCCTTTTAAAAAAATTTTTGGGCTGGAGAGATGGCTCAGAGGTTAAGAGCACTGACTGCTCTTCCAGAGGTCCTGAGTTCAATTCCCAGCAACCACATGGTGGTTCACAGCCATCTATAATTCAATCTGGTACCCTCTTCTGGCGTACAGACAGACATGGAGGCAGGATGTTGTGTTCGTAATAAATAAATAAATAAATATCTTAAAAAATTTTTGTGGGAATGAGACAATGACTTGTCATGTAGTCCTGATTGGCCTCAAATTTACAGCAATCTCTTGTCTCAAACTCCTGGGTGCTAAAGGGTATCTGTGCTGTTGTGCTGTTTTTATATGACACAGGATGTTGTGTAGTTTAGACCATCCACGAAGTTTACTAGCTAAGGATGACCTTGAACTATTGACCTTCCTGCCATCACCTCTTCCATAGTGTTGGCATTACAACAAGGGGATGTCACCGTGCTCCTAAGAGGTTACCTTGATTTGCCTTTGCTTCCTACCTAAGACCAGAGATCTTGCAAGATGTTCCCTTCCTATATAAGGGTAAACATTAGTAAAGGGTTTTTGTTTGTTTTGGATTTGGTTTTTTTGAGACAGGGTTTCTCTGTGTAACAGTCCTGGCTGTCCTGGAACTGGATTTGTAGACCAGGCTGGCTTTGAACTGAGATCCCCCTGCCTCTGCCTCCCAGTGCTGGGATTAAAGGCGTGTGTCACCCTCACCTGGCCAGTGAAGGTTTTCTATTTGGTTTTGTTGTGCTTGCATATGTGCTCCATATGAGTTTGCACTTAGGTCTTGAGCATGTTAGGCACTGACTCTACCACTAAGTTATATCTCCAGTCTAGCTACCCTTTTCCTTTATTTATATTATTTATTTATTAGGTTTTTTTTTTTTTGGTTTTTTGAGACAGGGTTTCTCTGTAGCTTTGGAGGCTGTCCTGGAACTCACTTTGTAGACCAGGCTGGCCTCGAACTCACAGAGATCCGCCTGCCTCTGCCTCCCGAGTGCTGGGATTAAAGGCGTGCGGCCACCAACGCCCGGCCCTCTCTTTCCTCTTGACAATGGTTTTAGGCGTTGAGCTCAGATCAAGAGGCTTCACCTGCTGAACCATCCTGCCAGGTCTCCCTTTTATATTTAGACAATTTTACTAAGTTACCAACACTAGTCTTGAGTTCACACTGTAGCCCAGGCAGGCCTTGAACTTGTGATACTCCTGCCTCAGTTTCCCAAGTAGTTAGGTTGACATCCCTGTGCCACTAAGACCAACTACTTTTGATTGTAAGCTACTGTATATTATAATCATTCCAGTGAGCTAATTTCAGCTGTAAATCCCAGAGTCCTACTACAGGGTACTTAGTGATTTGATTGGGCGTTTCCATCTTCCAAATAATTTTGATACTCTTCGGAGCATACTCTGAGAAATCAGGTCAGGGTCATGGAGTCTGATACCCAAATGTCCTCCCTTAGCTACCACAGGACAGATAAAGCAGTGACTTCTCTTTGGCCAGAACGTATGGATCTATCTATAAACCACCAACATTGGCTCTGCTCACCTGTCAGGTACCTCCCTGGGGCCCCTTGGTTCAGGCTGTTGTACACTCCTGGACCCCTCAGGGCTGTAGCTCCCTTTCCCTTCCAGGATGGCCTGCACCACAGCCACAGGCAGCGGTGGGGGTGCTGTCACGCAGAAGTCACACTCGTTTGCGGCCAGGGCCAGCCCGGCCTCTCCATCCCCCCCTGGACTGGCCGGCTCTTCTTTGAGCAGTGCCAGGCCCTTCTCCCTGCGCCAGAGAAAAGCTTCAACCAGACCCTGACACTGACCTCTCCCCACCCCCACAGGCCTCTGGGCTGTACTCGTTCCCAAAAGGTCCCCAGAAGACAGCCCCTGTCCTCCTTACCTCCCGCTATCACTGGAGGGAGAAAGCCTGTGCCCTTCGGGAGATGGAACATCTTCTGGGATGTCGGAGATGATGGGCCCTCTGGCCCTGTGAGGGCTGAGGCCCAAGGTAGCCTCTGGGAGGGGCTGTAAGTAGAAGGCTTGGGCAGCCCTTGGCCTTTAGTTTTAGGAAGAGCCCAACCAGCACCCACCTGCACCAGGACTAAGGGTCAGGGTTCGAAAATGTCAAAATCTATGCAGGGGAGCCTAGGTCTGGTTGGTGGAATGTTGGTGTCCTTCTTTTGGAGGGGAGATAGGGAGAAGAAACAGGTTCCTCACAATCCTGTCTGCGCCCTAGGAAAAGGAGGGGAAGGGAGCAGCACCTACCGACTGGATAAAGTAGGGGTCCTGGAGGAGAGCGCCAGACAGGGGGCAGGCATTGAATCTGGCAGGTGCCGAGCATGAGCTCCCCTCATCTAGTATCAGGGACCTGTGCAGGGTGGGCAGGTTAGGCCTCCATACCCCTCAGCCTACACTCCCTCCCTCTCGCTCCCTCCCTCAGGCCCCAGCAGCCAAGTCAGCAGAGCTGAGGCCTGTTTCCAGGGCATCAGTCACATGCTGGAGTGGAAGGGGCTCCCTGAGAGATGGGGGCCCTTTGGGGTTGAGAGGGGAGGGAGAGGGCTTAGTTTGAGCCCCAAGCCAGGGGTGCCTACTTTGGGCATAGGAATTTGAGGGTAAGGTCCTGGAATGGAAGAGGGGGGGTGTGAGCGGAGGTAAGGGATGGTGGACTTGAGGGTAAGAGGGGGGGTCCTGGATGGAGGGAGGAATGAAGATTCCTGGCGGAGTCTCTGGAGGGGTCCCTGACGAGGAAGGGTGTCCTGTAGTGGGAATGTGGCTTCTGTACTCACAGCTTTCTCTTGGTTCCCGCACTGCTGGGCCCTGTCTGAAGTGGCCCAAACAGGCACTGGATTAGCTGAAAAGAAAGGATTAAATCATACTTCAGGCCGGGCCCCTCACTTTAGAGGGGGAGGGGTGGAGGTATGGGGCGTCCAGGAGAGGGCAGGAGGAGGAGTAGGAGCAGAGGAACACCTTGCCAATGACCCGGTGCTGCTGACTGTGGCTCTGCCGCAAGGTCACCACCTCTCGCCACAAGATCTCATTCTGCCTGGGGGAAGGGGTGGGAAGATGCTGAGGCATCTGCGTTTGCTCAGGCACCATGCCCCACAGAATGGAGAGGTCCCTGGCAGAAGGGACGTGCATCTTACAGGACTAAAGTCCCAGAGCTGAACCCGCTGTGTGGAGGGAGGCTCCAGCCCAGAACCCCTAGGTGGCCAGCGTCCTGTCACCCGTAACTCAACCCTTCCTTCCCTGTCCCGCACTGCCTGAGTTCCTGCAGCCGTGCCTCGGCGCTCTCCTGCACGCCCCTCAAGGCTTGCACCTCTCCCAGCAGCCGGCTCAGGTCTTCAGGACGCCATCGACTGTCATCCCCTCGCAGCGCAGGTACCTGTAGGTACGAGGCAGCATCCCAGACAGCGGTACATAAGACAGAGCCAGAAGTACCAACATCGGCGTTTTCCCATTTTTGCAGTTTGTCCCACCTTGCGGCGCACGCGCTCCAGTAGCTGCTCACGGCCTCGCACGAAGCTTGGGTGCTGGAATTCAACGTGGTCACGCTCTGGCCTGAGGAGGCCACCTTGCTCAATGCTCACCACCTTCCGAAAACCGTCTGGGGAATGGTGCCCAGGGAGGGGGAGGAGGCGGGGGCGTGGGCGTGAGTATGAGCCACTCCATCCTTTGTACCAAGTAACCCCAACCCGCTCCCCGCCTGTCAGAGGGACTCACACATGTTGAGTTGGCGAACAAAGCTCGCCATGTTGCTGTGCTTGAAATACTGGGGCAGTACTTCCTTGGCGAAGCGGCTCTGATCACTTACGAGGAAGCTGGTCCCACTCTACCAAGAACGAAGGACGCCCACCGGGTGGAGACCAGACTAGGTGAGTGGCAGCCACTCACAGCTGGGCCACACTCCCTCACTCTGGGGTCCATGTTTGCACCTCACTGTGGGGTGGGACTTGACCAGGTCAGAACCATATGAGGTCTACCCTGCTATAGCCACAAGTAATCCCTACCCCTAGCCACATCCAGACTCGATCCTCAGAAAGAAACAGCACGTACCAACCCGGGGTCCACCTCTGACTGGTCTCAAACTCACCATGTAACCCTGAGCCAGAGGTAGAGCCAGCCCTTCCCTCTTCTTGGCCTGTTTCTCATCAGTCGATGAAATAAAGTGAGAATTACCTAGGTCCCTTGGGCTCTAGGACCCTTACTCCGCCTCATCCTTATCTCACCTACCCCTTCCACCGTCATCCACTCTGGACAGCTGCATCGAGGTACTCACAGCCCAGCCCCAGGCGGGGGCTGGGTAGACATGGGTTTTCACACACATTGGAGGGACCCCGGGGCACCACTGAGGGAATTGAGGGGCCCCAGCCCTCACCGGGCTCCAGCGGATGAGGTGGTCTGTGCCTGGGTCGCCCACCAGGGCCCATAGCTTGCCGAGGAAGGCAGGTACCGGGCTGGGGCCTGGCTCCGTGGGCAGCGCAGCTGGCGCTTCCTGCATGGCGCAGTCTCGGCCGGGCTCAGCGTTCCAGCCCGGCCGCTGCGGGCTTGTCAAAGCCGCGAAAGTGCTGCGTTTGCCGCCCGCCCCGCCCTACTCCGCCCCTGGGCGCCGGGTCAGGCGGGGGCCGCGTGCGAACCCAAGAGGCGGGGCTCGGACAGCGGCCCAGCCACCAGCAGAGAGAAAGGGCTGGCAGAAACGTAGGTGTCTAGGGGTAAGGAGGGGAACCCAGGTTCGAGTCTCATCCTTCTCAAGTCCCTCTCTTTCTGGGTTGATTGGGAGAAATCATCTGTGGGCTCGGAAAGTCCTAGAAGTTCATCTGGACATAGTGAAGCCTAGGTAAGGAAGGGCAGGTAGAAACGGTGGTGGGCGAAGCTGGCCCTCCCCTGTCTGTCGGAATGCTAGGGAATTGGTCGTTCCTGGGGTATATAGAGTGTACCAATCCCGATCCCCCCCCGTCACAATACAAAAGCCCCTGAGGCCTCCGTTCTTGCATATCTGGCCGGACTGATCTTACAGCCTTTGTGCGTTTCCTGCCCTCCCTTTCAGAGCTGACTCGAAATCACAGGACGCAGGAATGCTAAAGGATTTATTTACTTCACACTCACCCTTGACTTTTAGCTTGTATTTATGCCTGCCCTCCCCCCAGCTCTGGGCCTCGGAGCTAGCGCAGAGTGAACAGAGAGGAGGGAGAGCCGGGAATGGGCAGACACATAGAGGTGGAGAAGGCTCCGTGAATCTATGGAGCCTAGGGCTGGTGGATGCCCTCTAGGCCCCAATCCCCGAGAAGCACTGTGGTCTACGAACTCCCTAAGGACCGGGCTAGCCGCTGGGGAGTCCCTGTGCAACTTGCTCAGGCCTTGCAGGGGCTTCGGGTCCGCGCGGTCCTGGAGTGGTGAGATCGCTCAATCACCGCACCAGCGTGGGCCGCCAGGGATGCGGCTCACGCTTTAGTTTGAGTGTGTAGCTGCGCAGGCGCGGACAGTGCGCACGGAAGGCGTCCAGTACCGAGGGTCTCACCACGCAGAAGCAGTGTATTTCTCTCAAGCCCGCGCAGCGCGCCGCCAGCTCCTCTAGAGCTGTGTGCAGCTCGGTGGAAGCGGACGCGCGCACCTCGAGGGCGCGCAAAGTTTCGGCGTAGTGGCGCGCAGCGAAGCGCACTGGCCCTACGGTATCACCGGAGAGGTTGAGACGCAGCACAGCCACGGGTACCGCTGGTTGCAGGATGCGCGTTACGGCCTCGTTTGGAAGCGCAGGTTCCAGCTCCAGCTCCACCTCCAGCCCAGGGTGGCGGGAACTCAAGGTCGCCCAGGCTTCATCCGGCAGAAGGGGCGCACGAGCATCTTCGGGGCACGCGCACCGCAGTGCCAGGAGTGCAAAAGGGGCGCGGTGTGGCGCAGCCAGCAATTCCAGCGCAGCAGGCGACAGACTGGCCAGGTGCAGTCCAAGGGCGCGCAGGTGTGGGCAGGCCTCCAAAAGCTTGAGCACAGAGCTGGGCTGCACGCTGTCCACCAGTGCATGGTTGTCCAGGAAAAGACTTCGGAGCTCGGGACAGTCCCGTGCAGCTTGAAGCACCAGTGTGTCGTCCAGTGTGTAGGGCAAGCGGCGCAGGTCGAGATGGTGCAGTTGGTGAGCGGCTCCGCAGACAGCTTGCACAGCGTTCAGAATGTCGTGGCCAGCATCGAAAAGCGGCTTCTCTCCGTGGCATTCCAAGCACAGGCCTCGAAGTCGAGATGTTCGGCTGGCCAGAGCAGTCAGTAGTTCAGTGGCCGCTCGGCGGCTGTACGTCTTTGATGGTTCATATTCCAGCCTTAGGTTGTGAATGTGGTCCAGGCAGGTGGACAGATAGGGTGGCAACAGGTCTTCCAGTTCACAGTCACAACTTGTGTTAGAGCAACATAGAAAGGAATTAGTGGTGTCACCATGAACTAGGGGATAAACTTTTTTTTAAAAAATTAATACATTGATTTTTTGTGGGTATAGGTGTTTTGCCTGCATGTTTGTCTGTGCACCACAGGTGTGCCTAGTGTCTGAGGAGGCCAGAAGAGGGCGTCAGATCCTCTAAGACTGGAGCTGGGAATCCAGGCCTTCTGGAAGAGCAGTTAGTGCTCTTAACTGAGGAGCAGTCTTTGGTATGTGCCCCTCACTTTGGGTTCCACCGGCTCTCCCTATTTTCTGTGCAGGGAACTTCCATCCTATTCTTTTGTTTGTTTTTTTTTTTTCAAGACACGTTTCTCCGTAGCTTTGGAGCCTGTCCTGGACCGCACTGTAGACCAGAGGCTGGTCTAGAAGAGATGCACCTGTCTCTGCCTCCCAAACACTGGGATTAAAGGTGGGTGCCACCACTGCCTGTGCCATCCTGTTCTTTTACAAGTCTTCAGAGGCTTCTCTCTCAGGTTGAAACTTCCCAACCCTCCTCCCTCCCGTCCTGGGGAAAACCAATGATATTTAAGGAAAGGGGCTTGCTCTGCAGTCTGTGGAGGTGGAGCAGGGCCCCCAGAATGCCATCTGCCTCTGTCACTGGATGAAACCTCCAGGCCCAAGTGATTAAGTCTCCAAGCCTCAGTTTCCTGTCTGTGCAAAGGAAATAATACTGTCTACCTGTTGTACGAGCTTCTTGTGAGGATGAAATGAGCTAATATGTGTACGGCACTTAGATTGGGGGTCAGAGCTTAGTGGTAGAACACTTGCCTAGCAAGTGTGAGACCCTAGGTTCAATCCCCTGCTCTGAAAACAAAACAAAAATGCCCAGTATTAATCTGTGTATAGTAGGCAGCCAATGAGTTTGTTTGCTTTCAAATACGGAGCTGAGTGGGCAGCAGGAGGCAGCTCACCTGATGCCCGTGTCATGCCACACAGCGCTGCTGGTGATGGCAGCAGCCCAGGCCTTGCAGACTCTGGCAGCTGCAGCACGGTCCCTGAGAGGCAGGTCACGGAAGATGAGTGCCAGCATTTCCTCTGGCAGTTTTTCTGCAGACTCCACCATGATGTGGCTGGGGGGGGTGTCTGTTGCTCCCTGCAGCTGTGCCTAGAGTGAAAGAGGGAGCCCTGGGCTCAGAAAGGACAAAGAATTTCAGAAATGCCAATGCTGGGGAGATGCCAGTAGCCTGGAAGACGCTATGGAATTTGCAGAAAAGGTAGGGGTCCTAGCCTGTGGGATGGCTCAGCAGATAGAGGCACTTGCCCCCAACACTGATGACCTGAGTTCTATCCCTGGGACCCAGTGGGAGAAAGAAAGAAGTGACTCCTGAAAGTTGTTCCCTGACCTCCACTGGCATGCATGCCCACCCTGGGTGGAGCGCTTCCATACTCATACACACGATGAAATAAATAATTGATACATTTAAAACAATAACAAAAGGATGGGGCTGGAGAGATGCTTTAGCAGCTAAGAAAGCTGGCCACTCTTGTAGGTATGGCTCCAGCACCCACATGGTGGTTCACAACTGTCCTTAACTCCAGGTCCAGGGATCTGACACCTCTTCCAGCCTCAGTGGGCACAAGGCACACACATAATGCATATACATACATACATACCTACAGGCAAACACTAATACATGCAAAATATGTAAACTTGAAAATGATTTTTAAAGACTTATGCATAGTGGTCTGCCTGCACCAGAAGAGGGTACCAGATCTCCTTATAAATAGTTGTGAGGTGCCCTGTGGATGCTGGGAATTGAACTCAGGTCCTCTGGATGAGCAGCCAGTGCTCTTAACCTCTGAGCCATCTCTCCAGCCTCTAAAAATGATTTTTTTAAAGATAGGGGACTGAAGAGATGATTCATCAATTAAGAACATTCATTGCTGTCAAAGAAGGTGGGGATTTGGTTCCCAGCACCTACATGGCCAGTTATAGCTGCCTTTAAATACCTACCGTTCTAGGAGATGTGACACCTTTCCTAGCTTCCATGGCACTGCACGCTCATGTTGCACAGACATACATGCAAATACATACACATTAAATTAGTTAAAAAAGAAAATGCTAGCTGTGCATAGTGTCGCACGCCTTTAATCTTAGCACTCCTGAGGCAGAGGCTGGTGGACCTCTGAGTTCCAGGCCAGCCTGGACCAGGACAGCCAGGCCTTTTACACAGAGAAATCCTGTCTTAAAAAAACAAGTTAAACAAACAAACAAAACAAGAAAGAAAAGAAAATGTAGAGGCTTTTGTTCGGAACGTTATTAATTTTCTAGAAAGGGTTAAGGGTGAGGCTCAGTGGTTGTGCTCTTACACACACATATATACACACACTCACACACACATACACACACACTCACGCACACATTCACACACACACACTTCTTTCCCCTCTCTCTCCTCTTTTTTTTCTTTCTCATCTCTGATGTGAAGCCCTGACTGGTGCTGAAGACACTCCTGCCTCAGTGGTTTGGCTTTTCTTCCTTATTTTTTTTTAAAGATTTATTTATTTATTATGCATACAGTCTTCTGCCTGCATGTATTCTTGCACGCCAGAAGAGGGCACCAGATCTCATTATGGATGGTTGTGAGCCACCATGTGGTTGCTGGGAATTGAACTCAGGACCTCTGGGAGAGCAGCCAGTGCTCTTAACATCTGAACCATCTTTCCAATCCCACGTCCTCCCCCTCCCCCCTAGTTTTTGTATTTTTAGACAGGGTCTCACTACGTAGCCTTGGCTGGCCAGAAACTCACTATGTAGACCAGGCTGTCCTTGAATTCACAGAGATCCACTGCCTCTGCTTTGGAGTACTGTGACTAAAGGCCCTGTGCCGCCAAGCCCGGCTCTCAATGGTTCTTTACTTTCTCACGTGTTGAACAAGCTTTACTGGACTCCATAGGTTTCAAGTTGAGGACTCCCGAGCCAGCCCTTCCACTAGAAAGCAACTGCCCCGTTAGTCAGGGGAGAATCTTGGTGAAGTGGGCTGTTTTTTGTTTTCTTTTCTTTTGTCTGAAATCACAAGCCCATCGGGAAATGATGGTGCACTCACAGCCTAGAAGGGCAGGAGGCTCCTTCGACTGCCTCCACCCCCAGGAAGTGACTTTCTACATGCTTTCTGTGACTGACCTGTGGAGGAAAGTTTGCACATCTGGAGCCGGACTGCTCTGGTACCTCGAGGTTAGGACCCTGACCCTTGCGCAGCCCTGGTTCTCGCTAGCTAATTAAGGTTCGGTTGGAACTCAGCAGATGCACTCCAGAGCTCGGGTTTTGGGAGAGTGGGGTTGCTGGAAGCTGAGAGCTCTTTGAAGCGACCAGTTTTGTTTCAAGGTGCTGGAAGGTATCTGTAAAGGTTCACACCACTTGCCATTTAACTTTCCTATGTCTCTCAAGGGTCTGGTTTCTCGTGGAATTCGCCCCAAGTATACTCCAGAGTTTCGAATACCCCGAGTCAGGCTTGTTCTAGAATCACAGCACCGCATTTTAAGTGCTAAAGAGTAGCAGGGATTAGGTCACCAAACCAGATTCCTAGGGGGCGCCAGAAAATTCTCATCTCCAGGAGACGCCCTTTGATTGAACTGACTTAAATTTGGCAGCTCTCACTCTGGAGCCCTTCGTTCTCAAAAACCCTTAAGCCGCTACAGTCGTGACCAGTGGGCAGTTCGTCCTGCCATCCAACCTTGGGTGTCGTTACCTTACCTGCTCAGCGGACTAGGTGGGCTTTGCCCGGAGGCCGGGGACTGGCCACGGAGGACAGCGGGGCAGGAAGGAGAGGCCCTGAGCGGAGGAGAAGGCGGGACACGCGGGGCTGACCCGGCGGCTCGGGCTGGGGCGCCGCCCCTGCGTCTCCGCGCACACCCGGAAGCCGCGCGCAGCGGAGCCCGGCGAGTGCGTGGCGGCCAGGTTAGTGCGGAGAGTGGGTGGTCTCCTTGGTGCAGCCGGAGCAGAGACAGAGAGAGATCTGGCTCCCGAGGGTGGGCACCCGAGGGGGTGACACGCAGTTGCTGGCCAGCTAGTGGCCGCTGCCTGTTGGGCTGCTTCGGTGGGAGGCACGAGGGACTTCGGAACTCCACCTTCTTTGGTTTTTTGTCCCAACTGAGTGCAGGGTGTCGCGGCCCTGCAAGCGAGAGGATCTCGATGCAGGGCTGGCCCGGAACGGTTCTCGGAGCCCCCTTTCTGCCTGAGCCCTGACCTGTGTGAACCCCCAGCTTGAAGGCGGGGTAGCGGGGAGTCTGGGACCCTCCCTCGGCCAGGTCGCGTACTGCACAGCCAGGCAGGGGGCGTGTCCTGATGGTCCGGGAATCTCAAACTTTTAGTTCTTGAGTTGGGAGTCATGCCTGAACACCTAGCCAGAGGTGGGATTGCCTGGGACTGTTACGCGTTAATGGGGGCATTTGTTCTTAAGTTAGTATTGGTGCCCCAGAACCCAGTCTAGAAGCATCCCAGTGGGGGTGCACATTTGTGGAAGGACACGTGGGAAAGATTGGTTTTCACCCCCCCCCACGAAATAGAGTTTCTCTGTGTAGCCCTAGCTGTCCGGGAACTAGCTCTGTAGACCAGACTGGCCTGGAACTCATAGATTTGCTTGTCTCCGAAGTGCTGGGACTTAATTATTATTAAAAACAATAATTTCCTGCTGTTATAGTAAATATACATGTATTAGTGTGTTTTCTATTTAGACAGTGATGGAGGAGGGTTTTCAAAAACTGTGTTACCTATGCTAAGACTCAGATAGGGCCATCACCAATTTATCATTTCTCTTGGCTAGGTCTGTACGATGCCCTGCCCAGCGGCTTTCTTAACCTTGACCCTCATTAGAGGTTTTGGAGCAGGATTTTGACAGTCGACGGATGGGAGAGATTATAGCATGGAGGGGTTCTGTCTCTCTGTGGGCAATTAGGGAATCTGTTTAGTAACAGCTGAACAAGGGCCTTATAACAAAGCAGAATGATATAGCTTATGCACGACTTTAATCCCAGCACTCAGGAGGTGAGTTTGAGAACAGCCTGGTCTATACAGTGAGTACCAGGACAGGCTCCAAAGCAATACAGAGAAACCCTGTCTCAAAAAACCAAACAAACAAACAAAAAACAAAAAAGAAAATTATTTTTTAGCTTACATAACTGAGCAGTATAGAATGGTTTCAGAGATAGCTGGATCCATGGTTATGTCCTGCCAGATGGTGGCAGCACATGCCTTTAATCCAGCACTCAGGAGGCAGAGGCAGGCGGATCTTTGAGTTCAAGGCCAGCTTGGTCTAAAGTGAGTTCCAGGAAAGCCAGGACTGTTACACAGAGAAACCCTATCTAGAAAAAAAAAGAGCGCCGGGCGGTGGTGGTGCACACCTCTAATCCCAGCACTCAGGAGGCAGATGCAGGCGGATCTCTGTGAGTTCGAGACCAGCCTGGTCTACAAGAGCTAGTTCCAGGACAGCCTCCAAAGCCACAGAGAAACCCTGTCTCGAAAAACAAAAACAAACAAACAAACAAACAAAAAAGCTTATGTCTTGGGGGCTGGAGAGATGACTCAGCATTTAAGAGCATTAAATCTTCTTCCAGATGACTTGGGCTCAATTCCCAGAACCCACATGGCAGCTCACAACTGATTATAATTCCAGTTCTATGGGACCTGACATCTTCACACAGACATACATGCTGGCAAAACGTCAATGCACATAAAAAATAAATCTTTTAAAAGGTGGTGGCACACACCTTTAATCCCAGTACTGGGGAGGCAGAGGCAGGAGGATCTTTGTGAGTTCGAGACCAGCCTGGTCTACAAGAGCTAGTTCCAGGACAGCCTCCAAATCCACAGAAAAATCCTGTCTCAAAAAAACAAACAAACAAAAAAGTCTATGTTGGACTGAAGACATGATTCAGTGGTTAAGAGCACTGACTGATCTTCCAAAGGTCCTGAGTTCAATTCCCAGCAACCACATGGTAGCTCAGAACCATCTGCAATGAGATCTGGTGCCCTCTTCTGGCCTGTAGGCATACAAGCAGGCAAAACAAAACAAAACAAAAAAAATAAGAGTGCATGTCCTCCAGACATAGTAGCTCATGCCTTTAATTCCAGCATTTGGGAGGCAGAGGCAGAGGCAGGCAAATCTCTGTGAATTGGAGGTCAACCCTTTTCTACATGGTGAGTTCCAGGCCAGGCAGAGGTATGTAGAGATACCCTGGCTCAAAAATAAAAAAGTGTATGCTGTCATCTGTTTGTCTTATTTCCTTCCATGTAGGCTCCCTCTTTCCTTTGCATAGGTCCTTCCTTCCTTCTTCTTTTGGGGGTGGGTTCTTGACACGGTTTCTCTGTGTTACAGCCCTAGCTGTCCTGGAACTCGCTCTGTAGACCAGACTGGCCTCGAACTCACCTGCCTCTGCCTCCTGAGTACTAGAATGTAGATGTGAACCACCACTGCCCAGCCCAGACAGGTTCTTTCTAAACAGTAGTCAAAGAGACCTATTTCTTCCCTCCAATTCAACCCCAAGGCTAGGGAAATTAGTGCCACTTCCTTAGTAGTCCTCCCAGGGACACAGAGTTGAGTTTCTTTAGTTTGAGTCCCATGGGGACAGGGTTTCTCTGTGGCTTTGAAAGCTGTCCTGTAACTAGCTCTTGTAGACCAGGCTGGTCTCGAACTCACAGAGATCTGCCTGCCTGTGCCTCCCGAGTGCTGGGATTAAAGGTGTGTGCCACCAACGCCCGGCTCCTATATCAAATCTTGACTGGTTTCTGATGAATGGTGAGTGGGATGTGAACATCGGTCAGTCTTACTTTTCACATCCAAACTTGGGGCTATGCAGTGAGAATTAAGGGAAGCCAGGTATAGTGGGAACTTTCCACCAGAAAGGGTTCTGGGAACTTAAGGTTAAGCTGAAGGCAAAACTCAGCTGGTCTGGCTGGTCTTGAAGCATGAACACCATCCAGAAGGAAGATGTCTTTTGTCAGCTTTGGTAAGAGGGTCATACTGGCCTGGGGCCCACTGAAGGGCTCACCTCTGTTATTCTGTTACTGTGACCCTAGACTTTTTGTCACAGGTGGTGGAGGGACAATCCTGGGTTCAAATCTGGGTTGGACTGGGCAGGACTGTGAGCAAAGCTAAAAACTGGGACCTCTGTGCAAGGACAGCTAGGCCATGTGAGACTGGGTAGTTGTTTTCAAGACTGGAGATGATCTGTTTGCATCTCCAGGAGGCGAGATGGCAGCTGGACAAAATGGGCACGAAGAGTGGGTAGGCAGTGCCTACCTGTTTCTGGAGTCTTCCATGGACAAGGTGGTCTTGTCTGAAGCCTACACAGATCCCCAGAAGAAGGTGGCAATATACAAGGCTCTGCAGACTGCTCTGTCAGGTGTGGGGCTGGCCTGGGGTGGAGGTGACTCTGGGACTTGAGTGTAGACATTTGTGCACTTCTCTGTGTCTACCTAGATATACCTGTTTCTTTTCTTTCTTTTAAAGCATCTTACTCCCCCCCTTAAAGATTTATTTATTATGTACACAGTCTTCTGCCTTTATGTCAGCCTGCACGCCAGAAGAGGGCACCAGATCTCATTACAGATGGCTGTGAGCCACCATGTGGATGCTGGGAATTGAACTCACGACCTCTGGAAGAGCAGCCAGTGCTCTTAACTTCTGAGCCATCTCTCCAGCCCCCCCCCCGTTCTTTTCCTATGTCACCTTGATGTACATTCATTCCCACTTCTGAACAACCAATTCACTCTTTGCTTCTAACTGAACTTTCCTGTCTTCTTTTCCTCTCTCACTGGAAGCACTCCTTGCCCAAACCCTTCCCCAGTACCTACCCTTTCTGTTCTGCTTCCCTTCCTCAGGGCAGGAACCACAGGGGGCTGTAGCTGGTTGGGGGTCGGGAGAATGGGCTGACTATGGGCTTATTCTCCTGTTCTGGCTGCTTGGAAAAAAGTCCTGTTTGGGGACAGCGGGTGGCCTGACGGCTCTCCTCTACAGAGAGTGCGGACAGCCCTGACGTACTGCAGATACTCAAGATCCACTGCAGCGATCCGCAGCTCATCGTGCAATTGCGGTTCTGCGGGCGCCTGCTGTGCGGCAGGTTCCTCCAAGCCTACCGCGAGGGGGCGCTGCGCTCCGCGCTGCAGAGGTGCATGGCCTCGGCACTTGCCCAGGAAGCGGTGCGGCTGCAACTGGAGTTGCGTGCTGGCGCAGAGCAGCTGGACACTTGGCTGACCGACGAGGAGCGCTGTTTGAATTGCATCTTAGCCCAGAAGGTGCTGCCATCTGGAGTCAGGATGGGATGGGTGGGGATTTGCAGCCCAAAGCCGCACTTACTGTGCACCCCTTTGCGCAGCCCGACCGGCTCCGGGACGAGGAACTCGCAGAGCTGGAGAATGAGCTCCGCAAGCTGACATGCGACTGCACTGGCCAGGGTGGAGACACACAGGTTGATTCAGCCGCTTCGAAGCCCCTTGTTCCCTCCCCAGCCGAGGAGAAGCTACTGCCGGCGGCCTGCCAGACTTTTCTGTTTCGTGGGCAGCCCGTAGGTGAGGTTCACACCAGGAGGTTGATCTGGGCTGGAGCATGACTGGGCCCAGGAATCCACAGGCAGGCGCGGGAGGGTGCTGGCATCAGAGAACCGGTGCTCACCCACCTCTCCTCACTTTCTCTGCAGTGAACCGGCCATTGAATCTGCAAGACCAGCAGACATTCGCGCGCTCAGTGGGCCTCAAGTGGCGCAGGGTGGGGCGCTCGCTGCAGCGTAGCTGCCGAGCGCTGAGGGATCCTGCCCTCGATTCGCTAGCCTATGAGTATGAGCGAGATGGGCTATACGAGCAGGCTTTCCAGCTGCTGCGCCGCTTCATGCAAGCCGAGGGCCGCCGTGCCACACTGCAGCGCCTGGTGGAGGCGTTGGAGGAGAACGAGCTCACCAGTCTTGCGGAAGATCTGCTAGGCCCGGCGGAGCCCGATGGTAACCTGGCCTAGGTCTGGTACTGTGGGAAGGGCGGTCAACCAGCTGGCCAGCCAGGGTTTGGACCCCACTGTTGGCTATTGGGGTCTTTTTACTTCTGCTGTTGCTGCTGCTGACCACTTTCCATTCACTGAACTCAGAGATACGTACTCCCCCTACTTTGCTGAGCTGCTGGAGTGGAACTGATTTCCCCGGAAGCCAAGCAGGCATCACGGAGCTTCAGGGGGTACATCACTGAGGATTCTACCCAGATTCTTGGAAGGAGACAGTGTAGATGTCCTTGTCTTCTCATCCTAAGAGAGGACTTCCTGCAAAAACCCACCAAGTCCCTGGACCTTCTGAGGTCCAGATGCCACTCAAGGTGCTGTAAATACTGTGGTGATCAGGACGCACGAGTATACCCTTGGCTCATACTCAACGTGGAACCTAAGCACTTTGCAACGAAAATAAAATGTAACCCTTTTACAGACTTGTGGAGACACCAAGGTCAAGTCCAGGTTGGGGTTAGGCTCCTCCGAGCGGTGGGTGAGCCAGGTAGAATTGGGAGAGGGAGGACAGGATTCTGGGTACAGCAGGCTCAGGTGGGGCCTCGAGAAAGCTGAGGAGGAATGTTAGGAGAAGTTTAGAGGGGCCTAGATGGGAGGAGGGATTGCTTCCTGCCCTGTGAGTGGGGGCTTGATGAACCATTATATAGTTTGATATTTTTTTCCAGTTGGGCACTGGTGTCATACACTTTTGATCCCAGCACTCGGGAGGCAGAGACAGGTGGTTCTCTTGAATTTTAGGTGAGTTCCTGGATAGCCAAGGCTACAGAGAGAAACTGACTCAAACAAATAAGCAAAGAAAACAAATTGACATTTCAAATACATTATTAGAGATGGAAAAATTTACAGACTAGTAAATCCTAATTGAAATGATCAGGCAAATATAGTAAAACTGCATCTTCTGTATAAAAAGTATACATTCTTGCTGGGCAGTGGTGGTGGCGGCACACGCCTTTAATTCCAGCACTTGGGAGGCAGTCTCAGTAAGTTCAAGGTCAATGTGGGTTACAAAGTGAGTTCCAGAACAGCAGGAATGTTACACAGAGGAATCCTGTCTCCAAAAAAAAAAAAAAAAAAAAAAAAAAAAAAAAAGAAAGAAAGAAAGAAAAGCAGGGACTCTCTCATATGCCAGGGACCTGATCCTAGGATGATGTCATCATCACTGTGAATTACCCCTTCCTGAGGAGCACCTTTCTCCCTCATTTCTTCTTCAATAATTATTTCTTCATCTTGAGCTCCTCCCTCCTCACTCTCTTGAAGTTTTCCCTCTGTAGAACAGGTGTAGCCTCCATCCTCAAACCCCTAAGGCTGAGATTACTTATGCCACATGCCTGGCCTGAATCTCCTCTAAGTACTAAATGCCTGCTTCTCTTCCCCTCCCCAACCCTGAGCCTGCTTCCTCTTCACCTCCATGCTTTTCCTCCTCTGTGGGTGGGCTGGCTGCCTCGTGCTCCTCTCCTCTGCATGCCCATCTTCCTTGTCCCAAGTCTGGGATTCGCTCTCTGGACCACATTCTTCTCAGCTTATGATGGATGCCGCAGCAGCTCAGAAACACGTTCTCCCCAGGCTTGTGATCTCAGTTTAAGAAGCGGAGACTTTCCAAAACTTTAGGATTTTTCAGTTTCTACTTTGACCTTGTTTCCACTAAGACTGAAGCATATAAGATTCAGACCTACAGAGCATGTGGCATTCAGGATGTTGAGGCAGGAGGATTGCTTCAACTTGGAAGCCAGCATGAGCTACATATTGAGATCTAGCCCCCGCAACTAAACAAAAAAACTTGCCAGTACTTCCAACACAACTTAAATAATTCTGCATTACACACATTCATTTGTGGTGGTATGGATAGAACCCGGGCTCCCAGGAAAGTGTTCTACCACTGAGCCACATTCTGCCTCTTGGGTTTTTTTGAGACTATCTCAAAGTGCAGGCTGGCCTTGAACTCACGGTTCTCCTGCTTCCAATTTCTGAGTGCTGTGATTATAGATGTACAACACCAGATTGAGCTAGGAAGTCTGTTTTTTGTTTTCAATATCATCTGGGGCATGGTAGCACATCAGTAATCCCAGCACTTGGCAGGCAAATTCAGGGGGATCCCTGTGAGTTAGAGGCCAGCCTGGTCTACACAGTGGGTTCGAGGTCAGTCATGGTTAGGGTTCTGGCTCAGGCACGGGCACTCACATGTACATACCCACACAATGCATATCCATGATTTAAAGCTCTTCAGGGGCTGGAGAGAGGTGTGATTCCCAGGAACCACATGGCAGCTCACAACCATCTTTAATTCCACTTCCAGAGAATCCAGTGCTTCACAAGCAAGCAAATCACCCATGCACATAAAGCATTTCTCATGGGCTCAACAATTATTAAGAGCCAACTGTTAATGATGGGGCTGTTTCTTTTTGAGATAGGGCTTTACTATATAGCCTTGGCTGTCCCGGAACTCACTATGTAGACCAGGCTGGTCACGAACTTGGGAGATCAGCTTGCCTCTGAGTGCTGGGATTAAAAGTGTGTGCCACCATGCCCGGCCTGTTTCTAAATAACCTCAACTTAAAACTCTGAATTTCCACATCCCTCCTGCTCTCCTGAGACTTCTTTATCTTTTACTGTCTTTCCTGCTACATCCATGAATACACACATAAATGCCCACTACTGCCAAACAGCTGCTGGGGAGGAAGAGCAAAGTTTGGATTCTCACCCGCCGCTCCATCTCCATGCACCGCGCTTGCACAGCTGTGTGCAGGTGTGCACAGCTGTCCTCGATGCTCCTCCTGCAGGGGCTGTTCCGAGAAGGCAGAGTTTGGATTTTGCCCCTGCCCCTTTTTTGACACAATGTCTCACTCAGGTAGCCCAGGTTGACATCAAATCCCCCATGAAACCAAGAATGATGTTGTTGACCTTCTCATCTTCCTGAGTGTTCGGGATGAATGCTAACAGCTGTTTGGGAGGAAGAATGCGACAGGCCTGCGACCCTGGATAAGGAGTGGGTTAAGTGATGACCAGGAGTTTGTATTCGCCAGTGGGATGAAGACCTTGGAGAGGCCCTGATTGCCCTCTTCATAGGGAATGAGTATCCTGCCGGGCTCTCGGATGAAGCAGGAACTCAGCTGAGTCTATAGTTCCAAATTCAGGAAAAGTCAGGACCAAAGACTTAAGAATGGAGCTGTGAATACCAGTGTGGGCCTGTAATCCTAACACTTGGGTGCTGAAGCAGGCAGTCATTAGCTCAAGACTATGAGGAGGTACATAGCGTGGCCTGTCCTAAAAAACCCAAAAGACCAGTGAACAGGTCAGAGTGGGGCTGTGGCATAGGAAGGCATGAGCCAGGGGATCTAGAAAACGGGACAGCCTATACTGGTTCACTGGCCTCTTCTGGAAGCCTCCCCAGATAATACCAGTCTCCGAGAGCCCAATCTAGATTGCAGAGGCAACACCATGGTCGTTTCTACCTGCAAAGATGCTATATGCTGGGGATCAGGAAACCCAAAACTGGATCTGGGCAAGGGGACAGGAATGAAGTGCTTGCCGGGAAGTGGTTCCATCGTCTGTACCCAGTGGACAGAGGGCAAGGACGCACCGGGAGAGTCCTGAATTCCAGAAAACCAGGGGCAGAAGCTTTGCCTGTCACCTCGGGGCAAGTCACTTAACTCACAAAACACCGGTACTCTCAAAGAGCTGCCAGCAAGTGTGTCTTGTTGTTGGGGTGCGTGCTTGTGTTTACTGGTGGCAAGTGCCGCAGAACTAGGAATAAGCAGGCAGTGACATTATTGGGGCGACATTATTCAGGCAATTTTTGGCCTCTGCTTGGCGAGCCAGGGCTGTTGAGGAGAGGTGTTCTGAAAAATGACCCGAGATGGTGGCTGAAAGTTAAGGCACCCAGGCCTAGGGATTTGGGACCCACCAGCCAAAATGGAGACTTCTAACAGCCTTCTGCAGAGGTGGGGAAGAGGGTACCCAGAGACGTGTATGCTTCCGAAGCCTCAGAAACGCGGAGTTCGGGCATCTGAGACGGCAAAAAAGCCAGCGAGAGTTGCCGGTAAGAAATCCTTTTAGGAATCAGTCCCCCCTCAAGAGATGGCTCTCCCCACACCGGGCGGAGCTGAGCACCAGATGTCGGGGCGTACACAGCTGGAGGATCACGTGGTACGGCCTCAGCCCCCTTCCTGCCAACGCTGCATTTGGCTCAAGCCCGGATCATGGCCGCCCTTGGGACCCTGAGCTGACAGTTAGAGGGCCCTACGTTCAGGGTCCGCGACTCCCCCTTTACCCTCCCACGGTCAAGAGTGAGTGCTGGGGTCCTGAGGACCAAGATCGGTGGCGGGAAGGGGGAGAGGAAGAAGGGATTCAACCTTGGTGCACCGGGTCGGGGGTCAGTAGGGGCGAGGCCTGCGTCTCGGTGCCCAACCTCGGCGCTCCTTCCTGGGCGAAGGCTGAGGATGGAAGCTGAGTTTCTTATCCCGTAGGCTGCAGCTGTGCGTCAGGACACGGGGCGGAGGTCGACAGAGTGGGTGAAGGAAGGATAGAGGTCCCCGGGAGGGGCGGGGCTGGACATGAGGAGGAGGCTGCGCCTTTGCCGGGAAGCGTGGCTCACGCTGCTGCTCAGCGCCGCCCTCGGCCTCCTGCTCTACGCGCAGCGCGACGGGGCAGCCCCCACGGCCAGAGCACCACCAGCGCGAGGCCAGCCCCCGCGGTCCACTTCTGGTCTCCGAGGACGCGGGCTCCCCCAAACCGCGGCCCCGCCGGCCTATGAGGCCGACACCCCAGTGCCGCCCACACCTACGGGCCCCTTTGACTTCGGCAGGTATCTGCGCGCCAAGGATCAACGGCGCTTCCCCCTGCTCATTAACCAACCGCGCAAATGCCGCAGAGACCGCGCATCGGGCGGCCCGCCGGATCTGCTCATCGCCGTCAAGTCTGTGGCCGCCGACTTCGAGCGGCGGGAGGCCGTACGTCAGACTTGGGGCGCCGAGGGGCGCGTGCAGGGGGCACTCGTGCGCCGAGTGTTCTTGCTGGGCGTGCCCAGGGGCATCGACTCCGGCAGGGCGGGCACGCGGACGCACTGGCGCGCCCTGCTGGAGGCTGAGAGCCGTGCTTATGCAGACATCCTGCTCTGGGCTTTCGAAGACACCTTCTTCAACCTAACGCTCAAAGAGATTCACTTTTTGGCTTGGGCCTCAGCTTTCTGTCCAGACGTACGCTTTGTTTTTAAGGGCGATGCCGACGTGTTCGTCCACGTGAGGAACCTGCTGCAGTTCTTGGAGCCGCGGGATCCGGCACAGGACCTTCTTGCAGGTGATGTGATTGTGCAGGCAAGGCCAATTCGCTCAAGAGCCAGCAAGTATTTCATTCCCGAGGCTGTGTACGGACTGCCGGCTTACCCGGCCTATGCGGGGGGTGGGGGCTTCGTTCTTTCCGGAGTCACGCTCCGCCGCCTAGCAGAGGCCTGCTCACAGGTTGAGCTCTTTCCCATAGACGACGTTTTTCTGGGCATGTGTTTGCAGCGCCTGCGGCTTACACCTGAGCCTCATTCGGCGTTTCGCACCTTTGGCATCCCCCAGCCTTCAGCTGCACCGCATCTTCGCACCTTTGACCCCTGTTTCTACCGAGAACTGGTGGTGGTGCATGGGCTGTCTGCAGCTGACATCTGGCTTATGTGGCGCTTGCTGCATGGGCCTCAGGGGCCCGTCTGTGCACATCCACAGCCTGTAGCAACAGGTCCGTTTCAATGGAACGCTTAACTACCTATCACAGCATCAAGCCTCTCATTCAGCTCCATAAGAGGTCATTAGAGAGCACCAAAGGGTTTCCCAGGTGGGTTAATGGTGTGCATGGCTTTCCTTCAGATCACGGCGTAGATCACTTATGCAGTACGCACTCGCTGAGATAGCCGGGCCATGGTGGTGGACCTGTCTTGACCCGCAGACCTAACATAAGCTGCTGGCACACTTTGCAATACTAGTATGCACTCGCTGAGATAGCCAGGGCCATGGTGGTGGACCTGTCTTGACCCGCAGACCTAACAGAAGCTGCTGGCACACTTAGTAATACTAGTAGCCAACAGCATTACCGTATGTGCCAGTGGGTGCTTGGCTGGATGGCTGAGGATGAGATAAACACATAGTGGTATCCCTAAGGCCTGGCCTCACAGCCCTCATGGACATGGCAGACACTTTAGTTATTTGCTTCCTTCATTCTCCACATTAGATTCCCAGTGGCAGTATCTTATCTGTCCCCTTTGAGGTCTGTTGTGTTGGAGCTAACCCTTTAGGTCCAGATTTGCCGGTAACATGAGGGATGGGACCATGATGGTCTTGCCCACTATAGGCACACACACACTACGTCAATGTACTTATGAAGCTGACCCATCCCTTCCCAGGAGCCCCAAGATTCCTCTACTATAATATTTCCCATATTCCTCAACTTCAGCTTCAAGAAAACCAACAGTTCACATTTTCGTACAAACCCCCCAGCAGCAGCACATGGCAAGCTGTCACCGAGGGCAGAGGTGCTTTATTGGAACGGGGATGAGGAAGTTTCCTCTGTTCATGAGGGTGGGAACAGTCCTGGCCTCCCTGACAGTGGGATGTGCAGGGCTCTGGCCAGACCAAGGGCCAAACGGGAAGACACCTATCAATCAGAGTCATGGAAGAGCCCCACAGGCCAGGCTGTAGGCCCAGGAACCATACAGACAGCTGGGGCAGGATCCCCTGCACATTCATCATGAACTATACAAGATGAGGCTGTACATGAGTTAATTACAAAAGTCATTATTTACAAAAATCTGTACACACATTTGAAAAACTCACAAAATTGTCATCTATGTATCACAAGTTGCTAGACCAAAATATTAAAAATGGGATAAAATTATACGTTTCTCTTCTCAATTCTTTTCAAAAGGTTAATATTTTAAAGCACATATATACTACTTTCCATTAGCAAGACCCATGTAAGAAACACAGCAGCCCAATCTTCTTTGAGGCCCTAGGCCTTTAACCAAGTGGCCAGGCCAGCTCGGAGAAGTGGGGCAGGGAGCTGGCCCACAGTGCACAACTGAATGCTGGGATGTAACAGAAGGAGGAAGGTGTCTTTGGCTAACACTTTGGCATTAAATAAAAGAGGCAAACAAGATGGAAACATGCAGCCCTGCCAACCAGGTTGGGCCAACAGATACAGGTGACCTTGAAGGCTGATTCCCAGAACAGCAGTGGGAACCAGGCCTGGGTACATACCTCGTACAAACCTATATTTCAACCACTTGGGTGAGCCACCTGGGCATGGCAGGGAGCACTCACACAAAAGAAACAGAAAAGGGCACGTGGGCCACACCAGCCGCAGCCAGCTCATCAAGTAACTAAAGTGGATGTAGTGCAAATTTTGCAACCAAGTACTATGGACATGCTACCTGCTCTGCTCATCTTAGGGCCACATGGCAATGTTCTCATCCTAGACAGCCATTCTTTCGCCAGAGAAAGTCCCATCTACCCTATGTGTGCAGGACAGGGGTTGGCATGTCTTTCACTACATGTTAGTTGAGAGGCCCTGGGTCCAGGAATCAAGGCCCCAAGTTTGTGCTTCTCTTTGCAGACTGTGTTTTCTGCTGGCAACAGCAGGCTTAGGACAGAGGAATATCTGGGTTCTCTGTCCCAAGATAGGGGACTCAGCCCGAATCCCATTTCTGAATCCCAGAGCCCTCCAACACTGCCACGTGCCCAAGAAAACACACAGGGTGGCACAGACCCGCCGAGCTGGATGTGGTGCACAGTTCCATGGGCAGATAGGGGAATGGGTAGTGATGTCCTTAGGGTAGCTCTGCCGTTCTCAGGTGGGGACCAGGCCTGGGGGGGCCATACAGGGTCACTGAGGCAATGTGGTTGTTCTGCATGACCTGGTATGAGAAGAGATCAGCAGATTAGAGGGAAGGATGTGGGTAGACAGGCCCCCAGGATCGGGTGGCTGGAGGACATGTGCATTGTCATATAGGCCTGGGCTCTGCATTTCCTGAGCCACCAACTTCATGTCAATGGGGCTTACTTCTGCTCAGGGTCTGCCCGTTATTCACAGGGCACGTGGCCTTTAAAAACTCACTTATCTAGTTTTCCTGCAACTGCAAAGGCTTGCTGATGTACGGCATCCAGATCCAGCCCCAAAATACAGGCTTCCCAGTCTCTCTCAAACCAGTGGGGTCTCCAGGGCCACTATTCACATGGCACTCAAGGATCAGCACACCCAAGTTTGGCCATACTTGCTTCGAGGTTCCTCTGAAGCCTTCTGAATCCCAGAGCCCTCCGGCACTGCCAAGGTGCCCAAGAAAACACAGGGTGGCACAGACCCACTGAGCTGGATGTGGCGCTCAGTTCCATGGACAGACGGAAATGGGTAGTGATGTCCTTAAGGAACCTCTGACAGGCTCATCCTGTTCAGGCTCTATAACCCCAGATTTCCCCAACCTATTCTTTTCTTTTTTACATCATTACTAATTTTGTTGGTGACAAGGGGCATGCTTTTGCCACAGTATACACGTGGAGGTCAGAGGCCAACTTTCAGGAGACTGTTCTCTCTTACTGGATACCAGGAATTGATCTCAGGTCCTCAGGCCTGCCAGTGCGTGCCTTTACCTGCTGAGCTTTCTTTTCTTTTCTTTTTTTTTTTTTTTTTTTTTGATTTTTGAGGCAGGGTTTCTCCGAGGCTTTTGGAGGCTGTCCTGGAACTAGCTCTTGTAGACCAGGCTGGCCTTGAACTCACAGAGATCCGCCTGCCTCTGCCTTCCGAGTGCTGGGATTAAAGGCGTGCGCCACCAACGCCCGGCTACCTGCTGAGCTTTAATCTCACTGGCTCTCTTATCAGACAGCAGAGATGAGGAAAGGCTCATCTGTCCAGCATGGCCGATAACCCTCTTCAACTATCCTCAGTTACCTTCCTGTCCTTGCTACAACCACAAAGCCCTTAGCCGCTTATCTGGCCTCCAGGACTTACCTCAAAGATCATCCGCTGAAGACCAAAGCAGAATGTGGAGCCAAATGGGTTGGTGTTGTTTGGGGATGAGGACCTGAAACCAGAGAACCCACAATTAGCAAAACAAAGGCCAAGCAGCAGAAGTCCTGTCCTGTGGGTTACTGACCAATGCTCTCTCATGACAGTGTCTCCTACATAAGCCCTCGAGGTCACGAAGTAGCTTCATTAAACTCCGATTCCTCTATGACTCAAAGATCAAAACAAAGTTACTGCTTTTGTCAACAGAACTACAGTCACCCAGGAAGAGAACACCCTGGTTGAGGAGCTGCCTCAGACTGGCACAAGGGCATGTCTGTAGGGCATTCTTAATGGCTGATGTGGGAGGACCAGCCCACTACGTGATGCCACTCCTGGTGCTGAGTCGTGCAAGAAAAACAAGCTGAAGCTGGGCATGGTGGTGCAGGCCTTTAATCACAGCATCGAGGAGGCAGGAGCAGATGGATCTGAGAGTTCAACTACATAGAAAGATCCTTTCTACCCATCCACCCGCTCCCCAAAAGGAAGCATACCGAGCAAGCCGTGGAAAGCAGGCCAGTAACTGGCTCCCCTCAATGATGGATTTTAATCTGATTGTACAAGCCAAAAAAAAAAAAAAAAAAAAACCCTTTTTTCTCCACAGCAACAGAGACCAATCAAACTAGGGCAGTTATTACAGAAGTCAGGAAGGTCCCTTCAAGTGAGTAGGCACCTTAGCATGACAACCATGAGGTAACAGACTACAGCAGGAGGCAGATTTTATGGGAAAGGAAAGCTAAAGACAGAGTAAGATAACTGCTTGTTCCAAATAAGGGCCGAGGAAGGGAGGCTATACCAGGGGCAATTTCTTAAAGCAAACATGAGGAACTGCTCATCTAAGCTGAACGTACATGATGGGGCAGGAAGTATGTCTTAGCAACACCAACATCTTACCCATCAGAGTTAGAATTTAGCCTAGGGCTGGCACATGCTAGGTATATACTATACTGAGCTGTATCCCTAGTCCAGAAACTTGTATAATTTGCACACCAACCACTGCTAGACTTCCTTGAGCCTTTTGAGCTTCAAGGAGTAGGATGGGGTGGTCAGACACAGCAAACTCCCACTCACCTGTGCAAAACAACAGGCTTCTCCACAGGATGGCCCAGAAGTTCCTGGATATTGTCCCACTGCAAAGGGATAAGGGCATCAAGGGTCAACAAGGACCAGTACACACTGTGACTAATGGATTGGCCAGAGTTTATGGCCCTAGACATAAACTTATTCTTAGACTATCAGACAGGAAAATAAGAGGTTACCTTGCTGTAGGTCGTGCATGTTTCAGTTTGACCACCTGCATTTTCTAGAAAGAGAAGATGGCATAAGCTGGGTTTGACTGGCCTTGGCTACCTGCAGCCCCAGTCACAGGCAGCAAAGACAGCTTGTTTGGAAGAATGCGGAGAGACAAAGGGAGGCCAGTCTTGGGGTGAGCTACACTAATTGCAGTGGGCACACTGTAAGGAGCACTGATTGATAATTTGCAGACAGGAAAACCCTCCATCTATTAGTAATAGTCCCAGTCACAGAAGAAGGCCTTCATAGTCTCCAAAACAAAGGACCCATCCCAGAGGAGTCTGGGAGGAGACAGTGAGAGAGCACTTAACCAGGCTGACCACTGCACTCTGCTGGCTTTTCCCCCTTCTTAACACAGGAAAGTAATTCCACACCCTTTACCTTGTGGACACTGCTGCACTCACCTTTCTTTACGGCTAGTGGGATCTTGAACTCACAGCGGTGGTAACTAGAAAGAAGACAGATAAGTAAAAGCTGTTTCTTGGGAGCTCCAACTGCTCTCACATCGCTACCTTGCATCCCAGAAAAGCCAGAACCCAATATATGGGCCCAAAGCCCTGGTCTAGGGTCTTTGACAACATTCACCAGGGAAGGCCCAACTCAGGAAATGAAGCGAAACAGAAAAAGGACATGGCTCTTAGGTCTAAAAAGACTAACTCAAGGCCCTGGGTTCAATCACCAGCACAACTGAAGGGAAGAAATCTGGGAGAGATAAATTCAACACTCAGCCAAAGTTCAGTTCTTCTTGCTCACCAAAGGTTACTCACATGTTAAAATTATAATGCCCGGGGTAATTGGTGTGCAGGACAAACTTCTTCACTCTGTGTGTATTTGCATCAAAGAGGATGTCCTGACAAAGAAAACAAGATGTTCAAGGAGGAAAAATTACCAAAGCAGGTCAGAGGCCTTACCAAAAGCATTCCAACTTGGAATCTTGAACCACGAGAATGCTAGCAGCTTCCTCCCACATATTCCTAGCAGCCTTAACTAGGAATCTTTGGTGGAGGGGTCCTGGCAGGCAGAGGGACTACAGATCTATCCACTGCTTGGCAATTTAAACAGCCAAGGGAAATTTTTCTTTTTCAAATGGCACCTAGAATTATTTTTACTAACTGCAGACTCTGGCTCAAAAGTCATCAAGAAGATTCAGGGTACTTCATTCTTGAAAGGCTCATGACAACTATACTATAGTATAACTATACAATAACTAACCAGACTCCCCTGCTTCTATAGAAATTGACAACCTCTTACTAGGACTCAAACCTGAATCTGTTGTCACCCATTGATATTCCCTCCTGTAACCACCAACTCTCCTAGCTCTTGTGCGTTCCTTGCTAAGGTCAGGGATCTCAGGGCTATTTCTCACACTGCTCCCTTACCAACAGCCAACAAAATCCAACCACAGTTACCCATTGCCATCTTTTGCAGACCACATGGCGACCCTTTGCTGTGGACAGAGTTCCAGCATTCCAACTTTGTGGATGGCTCACACTTCTGCAGCAGCCTTTTACCTTTACTTTTAATGAGCCTCACTATCATGCCTGTTC